CCCAAGCCAGATTGAGAATAACTCCTATGGCGTGATTCGAACCAGCGACCTCGATGACCTCTCTTGCACTCGTTGCGCGCCTACGATTGCCGCTCTACCATCTCGAAACTGCATCTTATATTAGCATAAATTGTCGGTGTATTGAGTTTAAAATACCAGGCTGAGGGGGTGGAGGGTGAGGAACTTTGTGTTACTGAGAGTGCAATCGAGCGTTTCCGGTTAAAAATAAAGGAAGTGAATCATACAAAGAACTGTGAAAAGCGATCTACACGAGTAATATTAGCATATGTTGTAATGGCGGACGACTTCGTTTGCTGAAGCTCGTTAATATGATTCCTTAGTATTGCATCGCACATCTTTTACTGCGCATAAAAATCACTTAATCATATGGGCGAATAAGCGCGCTTATTGTATTTTAATAGATGGACCAGGTAAAAGATACGATGGTCTTTAGCTCTTGATTGAGAACACTGACCTGTATTTTCTGTTGCATAATTTTGGTGTACAAATTATCTTTTTTAGATTGGGGAATCTTATCTGGCCTTTCCGGCTCCTATGAATCCCTCGATAAAGAAGATTGCAGTCCTTTTATGGTAGCAAAATTTGCATCATCATTAAAAAGCTCGATTAGTTCATGCATGGATGAAAAGGCGTTCGAGACTTTAACTGAATAAATCTGCAACTTACTGAACTGATGGCCAAAGAGTACCATTATTTATGAAAAAAACATCTCGATTCGTATCAGAGAGTTATGCCGTACAGAAGCAAAGAGAGGAAGTGGTCGGTAGACTTCACATTTTTCTCGCACATTATTTGTGACCAAAAATGCAAATTTCCTTCGTAAAAGTAACCGATATACTTAAGTATATTAATCCATGGCCCAGCTCAAAAGGTTCCATGGTCTTTAGCTTATGATTAAGAACACTAACCTATATTTTTCTATCGCAAAATGTATGTGTAAAAATTATCTCTTTTAGATTGGGGAATCTTGTTTGGTTTTTTTAGCTCCTATGAATCCCTCAATAAAGAAGATTGCAGTCCTTTTATAGTAGCAAAATTTGCATTATCATTAAAAAGCTCTTTCAGTTCATGCAAGGATAAAAAGGCGTTCGAGACTTTAACTGAATAAATCTGCAACTTACTGAACTGATGGCGTAAGAGTACCATGATTTACAAAAAAAACGGGTCGACTCGTATCAAAGAGTTATGCAGTACAAAAGCAAAGAGAGGAAGTGGTCGGTAGACTTCACATTTTTTTCGCAGATTATTTCTGACCAAAAATACAAATTTCTTTCGTAGAGATAACCGATGTACTTATGTATTTAACCATCTTCCATTTTAAAGCGGGATTGACGCAAGTGTCGTCAGCATATTTATCACTGACACTTCTGATTGTCGTCCGAAATTTATTTACGAAATCATTATCTGTATTTCAAGCGTCAAGAACGACATATTTCCTTTAATTCCATGTTTTCAATCTTGCTTCTAGTCATGAGATGATATTGGAGTTATTTTCTCTCTTTTTTCTAATGTCATAGGGCTCCGTCCAATTTTGATTGATGATTTCGTTGCATATGATTTCGTAAGATAACCGATACATGAAATTTCGTTTGGTTACGGAAAGTTAAGCTGATGTTGAAGATATACTCCAGCACGGATCCTCAAACACTTACCAGCCTCTTTCTTCTTTTGTTCTCGACAAGGAGAACTTCACAACGGTTTACGCTCGGATGTCGACATCTTAACGTCAGAGTTTGGCACGTAGACATACTGCGGAAACGTTTACCTCCTTCTAACTTGCATTGCCTATCGAAGGATGACGAGCTTGAAATGGATAATACATAGGAAACGTCAGAGGGAGAAAAGAGGTAAAAAAATACTTAAAACGGTTAAAGAAAAAATAACTTCTTCTATTTTAAGGAAAAAGAGTCTTTGCCGGCGACTTCTGAGCACAAAACACCACAGGATTCAGAATATAAATAACAATTAACAAAGTGGCCTGAAAAAGAAAACTGCTCATGGAACAAAAAAAAGGGAAAAAGGAAAAAAGAAGATAAAAATGATGATAATAAGGGATAAAGAAGAAAAAAACAGCAAAAACAAAATGCAAGTTCCGCGGGGAGGAGTTCCTCGGCCCCCAAGCCAGTTTGAGAGTTACTCCTTGTCCGCAAGCTCTAAATCATACTCGGGGAGAAGTTATTCGGCCCCCAAGCCGGACTGAGAATAACTCTTATTGTGTGATTCGAACCAGCGACCTCGATGACCTCTCTTGCACTCGTTGCGCGCCTACGATTGCCGCTCGACCATCAGCATAAATTGTCGGTGTAGTGAGTTTTAATATACCAGGCAGGAGGGAGGATGAGGAACTTTGTGTTACTGAGAGTGAAATCAAGCGTTTCCGGTCAAAAATAAAGGAAACAAGTCTTACAAAGAACTGACAAAAGCGATCTACACGAGAAATATTAGCATATGTTGTAATGGCTGACGGCTTCGTTTGCTGAAGCTTGTTGATGTGATTTCTCAGTATTGCATCGCACATCTTTTACTGCGCATAAATCACGTAATCATTTAGGCGAATAAGCGCGTTTAATGCATTTTAATCAATGGACCAGGTTATAAGGTACAATGGTCTGTAGCTCTTTATTGAAAACACTAACCTATATTTTCTATTGCATAATTTTGGTGTACAAATTATCCCTTTCAGATGGCGGAATTTTATCTGGCCTTTTTGGCTCCTATGAATCCCTCAATAAAGAAGATAATAGTCCTTTTATAATAACAAAATTTGCATCATCATTTAAAAGCTCTTTCAGTTCCTGCAAGGCGTTCGAAACTTCAACTGAATAAAATTGCAACTTACTGAACTGATGGCCAAAGAGTACAATGATTTATGTAGTTATGCCGTACAGAAGCAAAGAGAGGAAGTGATCGGTACCTTTTCCCAAACCTCCTCCCCTGTAATGACCAACAGGAAGGGCCGAAAGGGTGTCAGGAGCCGTGGACGGCGATAGGGAACTTAACCGCTTGATTTAGCTTACAAACACACTCAGTCATCAAAGTGAGCTACTAGAACCAGTTATATCTGGTTAAGCCATGACAAATTGTAAAGTTGATGCTAACTAAAAACTTTACCTGACCTGAACAAACAATATCAGCATGGCAAACAAATGCTGACGGCTTGAAATGGATAATTCATAAGAATAAGAGCGCTGTAGCGCTCTTTTCTTCATACTCTTAGCACGTGTAGACATTTGTTGGCCTTGCACAGTTTAGCTTTTATGTGTGCAAAAAAGTTACAGTCATTCTGGAAGGTCAGACCTAATAACTTAAGAGTGGCATGTTGTGGTATATTACAAACAACAGTATAGAATGTGGAGTTCCATTTCTTCTTTATGACAAGTTCTTTACACTTGTTAGGGTTACAGCTCATGGAATTACAGTTCGCCCAAGTCAAAAATTTCTCCACTAAACCACTTGACGTGTCACTGCCCCCTTTCCATACTGATGCGATAATGGTTGAGTCATCTGCATACTTAAAAAGCGCGGGAGTGGAACCTAGCTTAATATCAAGGTCATTCAAGAACACGTTAAATAAGTAGGAGCCGCCCACACTTCCCTGTGTTGTCCCCTTATTTACTCCTCTCCACTTGTGGAGGTAGTTGTTGTGGACTATACGTTGTTGTCTGTTATAAAGAAAACTGTGATACCAGTTGATGATATATACATTCAGGGGCAACAACTTTAGTTGGATCGCTAACGGTACACTAGTGCAATTTCCACTTTCACGATAAGCAAATTGAGTGGTGCTAAGGTTTTCCTCCACAGCCTCCTTCACAAAGGTGTTATAAACAGCTTTCTCGAACACCCTGGATGGGTATGGGATTGATATTCGATCTTTTCCATGACATAGGCCAGGTGTGCGTGCGCAAAAACAAATTCCAAATATGACTGAGAATTGGTGTTCAAATCTCAGCATGTTACTTCCAAACCCAAAAAGGGATGCCATCAGGACCCGTAGCCGTTCGTGTGATGTTGCTAAGACTTTTCCAAACAAGCCTCTCAGGAATCTCAAGTACTTCGAATTCGCTCCCGACAACCACATCTACTGGTGCAATGTATTTCAGGTCCGTACAAAGTTCATGAAAACAATCATTTAGATGGTTGGCAAAGGTTTTATCTAATACAACAGGGTTGGAGTGGGTGCGGCGTTGTGTGATGTCGTCTATAGTTTTCCACCAACCACCGCTTCCCACAGGAGCGGCGAGATATTTCCTATTTTCACAAATCAGCTCAGAGATGCGCCTGTTAATTGTCGCTAACTGGTCTTTATTATTACAGCTAAGCCTAGATTTTTTCTTCGGTAGTGACTTTACCAGAGGGCTCATCAACGCGGGATCCCTTGAGGACATTGTAACCGTCTTCAGGGGCAGGCACCTGTCCATTAAGGTGACGAGTTTTGGTTCCAGTTGAGAAAACGCTGCGTAAATTATCTCCTTTAGATTGGGGAATCTTATTTGGTCTTATTGGCTTCTAAAATCTCTTATATCGGTTTGTTCACCGCAGTGCACATATATGATTTTCATATGTCTACAATCATTACTGACATATATTTTTTATTTTCTAGAGCCATTTTCTAGCTCTTTATCGAGAACACTAACCTATATTTTCTATTGCATAATTTTGGTGTACAAATTATCCCTTTTAAATTGGGGAATCTTATCTGCCCAAAGGACAACTTAGTCTTATCTTTCGGCCCAAAGATATCTAGCAAGAATCACAAAGTTTCGGTTGAAATTGATGCAGCTCCTGTGAACGTTTATAATTCAAATGTTTTGTTCGAATTCGTGCGGAGTTTCCGCTCGAACCCAAGCTCTCGCGGATCCAGAATTATAGACAAGATGGCGATCATGACGACGGAGAGTATGGCGTATTTCAAAACAATATCCTTTCTCGAAAATGTCGATGCAAAATGTCGAGTATTTTTGATACGTCATCTAGATGAATTAGCTCAATCCTCGCTGGCGAGGTCGTCTCCGATTTTTCTTTTGCACGCACCAAAGTCACAGAGGCTGAAAGTAAAGAATTAAGCTATGTCGTCGACTGCTTCTCCTGACTCAGGAGAAGACCTGGTCGAGCTGACTCCAGTTTTTCGCGATGGGAAAGATATACAGAGGAAATCTCCAAAGGTATGCGATCAGCAATTGTTGTCAACAAACTCTCAACAAGATTAAGCTTTAATATTGTTTTAATTGGTTTTCTTCCAATCTTTCCATGAAACACAATAAAACAATGAATTACGATTAATTTTGAAAACTCTCGTACGAACCATTCAATCTTGATTTCGCTTTGTGCCTCGTGTCATATCACAGTGTTCAATTCAAATCTACCTTCTGCAAACCTCTGTAAGTTTTCAGCACTAAGTGTACTGGAAGTTGAAAACGCTACTTCAACTGTAGACTCTGGAAGGTAATTGATAAAACATGGTTGTTATTTCCAGGTGTATGATTCAGAGCTCTGCATGTTAGCCTTACCTCCAGGAGAGCATCAGCTACTGACGAGAGTAACTCAATATCTCTTCACTTGTGGAATCATTCCTGTTGTAGTCAAAAGCCCCACTGAAGCTCTTATACATAGCAGGCACTCCAAGTTTGTAGTGATAGTTTTGCCGGACAGTGATCCTACCCTGATCAGAAAAGTTAGGTTGGTAGCTCATCTCAGTCCTTTACCATAAATATTTTCAATATTAAATATTGCTTATATTATCCCAAAGACTTTAAAAGTACATCTATTGCAATAGAGATGTTACTCCTTCTAAATTAAGTGGCAAAAAATTATTAGAGAAATATTACTCAATCAAAGTTGCAGTCTACAACCTTCCCAGGTAATTGACTAGGTAAATGTTATACTTCATAATTAAGTTTTCCTTACAGCTTCAACATTCTGTGTATTCGCATTTTTTTTGAATATGTGATAACTCAATAAAGTTATTCAGGAATTTGGGTTGAGCTTTCATTCCAGGTCAGCTGATGGCATCAACTGTCAAACACCAGTGATTGTCATTTCAGTGGCTGATATTTTACCAGGTAGGCTCTAAGTATGTTTCAAGAATGACTAGCCCTTTTTCTTCCTATAAGATTTGTGGATATATGAAAGACATGCAAAAGCAACCTTAAGATTCAGGAACTAGATAAGAAACAAGTGGGAGATTTCACTTCAGATATTTAGCATAATGATAACATAATGTGTACTTGTATAACTTTATTTGGGTGAGCCATAACTTTTTGCACAGTTTTAGTTAAAGGATATAATTACCAGTAAGCTGTTCCTGATTGAAAAACTGTGAAACTGCCTGGTATTTTCTTTTTTCTTTATCCCATCTCTGCAAAAACTTCTCCCTTCATAGTGATGGTTTATGTTTTTTTCGCAGGAAAACAGTGCAAGGGTGCAGTTTCATGGGTGATAAAATCTAATGATATCAAATAACAAGTATAGTAACTTAAGAAATTTAGTCGGAGTAAACTGACAAAATTTACTCCAAGTGAAACTTTAGCCATGATCCTAACTCTTGAAAAGAACTAGAAATATGTTAAAAAAATTTTCTTGACAAGTGGTTCTTTCCAAACAAATGGTCCCTGGTTTACATGTGTTCTTGGAATTGTCATCTCAGTTTATTATTTTTTCTTTAACAGAAAGCACTTTGCACATGTTGGGCAGAAATGAGATCCAAGAAGCAATCCATAGAACATCAGATCCTGAAAAGTTTGAAACTGATTTGATAACAGCCTTAAGTCATTTCATTAGGCAGACTCACCATACTGGTAAGTGTCAGAAATATTTTGCTTTCATCTCAGTATGGCCTGTGAGCCCCCATATGACCATTCTGCAGGAGGTTGTTGCTTGACTTCAAATCTGTATAACATCACTCAGAGATCTTTGTGATGTAATTGATGGTGAAGAAGATGGTTAACCCTTTAACTCCCAAGATCTCTTCAGCAATTCTCCTTACTGTCTGCCATACAATTCTTATAATGTTTGTTCAGAGAATTTAGTATTGGATCAACCAATTATCCCCTAATTGATATTTTACCTTATTCTCATCTCTTCTATGCTTGATATTGTAAGGAGGAATTCTGTCTTGATCACTCATGGGAGTTAAAAGGTTAAAAGAGTGGGTCATGGAGCCAATTTTCTAATTTCAGCATGTCTGTATTGTTACTTAAATCTTCTTTAGAATCTTTTAATCATAAATAAAAAATTGAAATGATACATGTGCAGCAGAACAACACCCATCAGTTCATGTTGATTGTTTACCTCTGAACTGATCCCAGTTACAAGTTTGTTGTTAAAGTATTTGGATGAAGCAGTCATGAGAAAAGTATAATCCAAGATGATGTTCTAATGCTTATCCACAGTGGACCAGGGACTGTCATTGTTACCCATGCCAGTCCCAGTCTGTTGGAGTACTGCACCTTTGCAGTATACCTCAGCTCTTGCACACCCATTTGAACATCCAGAGGGAACAGGTTTGACGACTGGTTTAGTAAATTATGCACCAAGAAAGCCAATTCTTACTCAAATTCAAGATCTCAGTGAAAAAAGGTTCGTAGACCAAGTTCAGGAATCTAGGAACCTATTGGTAAGTGGCCAGACTGTGACTCAAGTCATGAACCAAGGACTGGCTACTCCTAAAGCCCCTCCTTCTATGGGACTTGGTACTCAAGAAAATTCAGAAGCAGTGTTACCTGGTATTGAGACACTTTTGAATGCCATTCAAGTGGTGGAAGGTGAATCTCCAGCCACCGATAATGAAGCTCCTTGTTTCACAAAGATCACAGCTCTTAATGCTCCTGACTCTGTTAAATCAAGGTTAGTTTGCGTGTTGTACTTGGTGGTAAAAAGAAGGAAAGATTTCCGCAATTTTTTCCCAACAAGATGACCGCTGGGTTAAAACCGTTTTTTTTAAGGATCAATATTTGCATATCTTGAAAATTGGAAATATTTAAAAATCGCTTATTGCAATCAGCTTCACTTTTGAACGTCATCAGTTATTCTTGTTTCCTGTTTCTTTTGTGTTCTTCTCCTTTAACAAGCTTAATTTTTTTGTCTTGTTCAAGTTCAACACAGGTTAGATTGCACAGAAAAAAAGTTCATTAAAATAATCAACGTGCGTTGACTCGAGTTTTCACAATTGTAAAAACAACAGCATTGCAAAAATCTTATAGCAAAAAAAATTTACAATTAATTTATAATAAAAGTTATTTTGACAATCTGTAAGTTTAGTCATCCCAGTTGCTTAAACGTTCTGTAATTTTAGTCATCCCAGTTGCTAAGACGTGATGTCATGGGGGAGGGGGGTATTGTTTCCTTTCCATGTTATCCTCTACCCCCTCTAATTGTTTTGCAAATTTTCATAACGATTCACTTTAATAACGCCACTGGGTCGGCAAAACAATCTTATCCATTGTGACTGTCGTTGAATCTCAATATATTTTTACTTTCCCTACGATAGTGCGAACATGTAACGTTAGGGCTTGTCGAGGCTACGGTTTGTGAATAAGATAATTCAGCTTAAAAACACCAGTCCATTAAAGCAACAGCTAAGAAACTCGATTTTGAAAACAAATCACTAGCCGCGATAAATTAATGCATGCTTTAAAATTGTGCACATATGTTCCTGGCAGTCGAGTACGTCGCAGGGGGACTCGTCGATCTTCAACAGAGTCTCGCCCAAGTGCAAAAACAACTAAATCGGATACTGAAGCAGAAGAATCGCTTAACGACAGCAAGAGTCCGTTACCAGCCTGTTTGGCCGGGAAGAAACCTTATTTCCTGTCACTCGATACCTACAGAGAGGCCTTGGCTGATGACCCGAACGCAAATCCTGTGGACAGGCACAATTCTAAAGAAAGGCACAGAAGGTAAGGTTTACTGTGTTTGATTTACCATCTTCGAGGTGGAAGAAGGAATATTGTGTATCTTGAGTTTTTGGACGATATGTGTATGGTTCAAGACCTCAAGCAGTCGTCACTTGCAATAATACTATTACTTACTATTGCAGAATACGAATCACTAAAGCCGCAGAATTCTTCAAAGCAGTCATACCAGGCATGGAACCAAACATGGACAAGGCCACAGCTTTCCACCTTACAGTCCAGTATATGGTTTTCCTACGGAATGCACTTAGACAGCAGGATCCAACAGTCATTCCCAAACTTCACGAGGTTTGTGGCGACGCTGTCAACCAGGCTGTTCAAATGGTTTTATGGAGGTTCCGCCCCATTGCAAGTTCACCCACTGAAGCAAAGCGTGTTCGCTTGTTTTACTCCGGGGGGGGAGGGGGGGCGAACTCGCAAATTTCCAGTGGTAGGGGGTGAACTTGCAAGGGGACGAAACCTCCAGTTACTGTTTAACTGGTGGAATAGATTATTATATTTATTTTGGCGAGTGGCTCATCTAACGGTGTTCGATTGATCAAGGAATCTCTCTATGCTTATTACTTGGGAAAATTGCGCCTCAGTCAACCAATACGGTTTTTAAAAAACTCCAATTTGTTCACAAGCGTTTTCCTGCACTTGGAGCAAGGTAAGTGCATTTACTTGGAGGAATTGTCCTTTAATGGACTCCCTGTTATACATCAGCTTCTCTCCTGAATGGCTTTTGCGAGTATGTGTGGACAATCATTCGAATTCACAAATTGCTACAAATAATGGTAATTGAGCTGAGTGGAGTGCAATTTGGTCTTAAATCATATACGTAATTTCAAAATCAAACGAGCGTGCAGCGCGGGTTTGATTTGAAATCCCAAGTATGATATCAGACCAAAATTGCAGGACGCGAAGTTCAATTACCACTTTATTACATCTGTTTTGTAATCGCAAAATTTATTCGCTCGATTTTTTTTTAGTCTGTAGAAATATTTTATTGATCCAGTCAGTATATTGAGCTGGTTTGTAAAAAGTTGTCCCTCATTTTCTTTTAATTTCGTTGATCTCTTTAAACAAGCCCTGAAATTTGATTGGTTGTTGTGTTTTAGTGAAGATATCTCATTGGCTAGGAAAAATATGCGATTTAGAGCTTAAAATGGTGCGATTTGTGTATGAATCGCATCGGCGAGATTCAATCAGATTGCAAGGATCGTAAGTGATTTCAAAAAGGATGCAATAAAGCTCGATACGAACGATTAGGGCGCGTAAGAGAACGAGTTTTAAACGAAAGAGTGAGTCATGAGCGATCGAACAGAAAACTGGAACGGGGACAGAGAACGGTCAAGCATTTGAGCTTGGCTCACGCAGTTTTGACAAGCCTTGCACCTCTTTCATGAATAAACTTTTTTTTATGTGCATAAAAATAAACCTTCCAAGCTTCTTTTCAGAATAAAACTTCCATTTTCGAACATGCTGACAATACTATGCAAGCTAATTCATACGTACAGAACAAAACAGGAATTAGGCCCGCCCTTCATAGAGCTCTAGTGAAAACAGCTAGTGAAACGAAAGTGTTAACTCACCGTTTGCGCCACTAAAACTGGGGAATATCCGTGCAATGTTATATCGTGAAACTCTCCGTTTAAAATTTAATTCATGATGGTAAGGAACATTTTTTGTTGTAGGTGTAAAGGAAAGTGCTAATAATACTAATAATTAGGGATAAATATTTAAACACTTGGTAAAGCCTTAAATGCGTTAGGAGTTCTTTGATTTAACATTGATGACTGTTTGTTAAAGGAGGTTAGTTCTCAAACAAATACTGTCCGAGCAGATTTCAGGCCAAACGGAGGGCATTGGTTTTTTGCGTGCAGTGGTGACTTAATTAATAATTAAATTATTTGCTTCTTTCTTGCAGACGTTTAAACAGGAATGGTGTAAGGTGTTCAACATGAATGCCCCTCCCGATGCTAATTAACAGTAACAACGCACAGCAATTCCCAGACATGTTCTTTCTCCAAAGAAAAAGAGGAGTTTTTTTACCACAAGCATCCTTGGGAGTGATCTCTGTAGAAGCAAGTAGTTTATAATAACTTTTTCTTCAAATCACCAAAAACAAGAAATATGACAACGCACACTTAAAATCCTGAATTAATTTTTTTGATTTTTAATTTTCTCCGATTAAAAATAAACCGCTCTCAATCTCCAGCCCTTTTTGATTCACAAATGTGTCGAATTTGTTCCTAAATCTCATTTAAGAATGTAATGATAACTTGATCCATTGCTGAACGGCAATGATGTACATAACATTTGTATTAAAAGCGATTGTGAAATTTTTCAGTATAACGTACGACAAATAATGGATTTTATCACCACGATTAAAATAAATCTCTCATACAGCCAACTTTTTACTAGTCTCCCTTGGTGCGTAAGTTTTTCACGATTATCCCTTTATCTTTATGCATAATTTAATGAGCCTGCTCCATGCATTTATAATTACTGGCGTAGAAAAAGATAATTTGATAATAATAAATTAGAAATCCATACATGTTGCTTATTGGACTCGACAGAATTGGGAACATTCATAAAACATGTAGTAATGGAAGCTGCTTCACGGTTTATACATCATCATGAAAAATTTTGCTTAAATAATTCTTGTTCATCATGTATAACGATCGTTAACCCTTGAACTCCCACGAGCGACCAAGACAATCTCTCTTTACATTATCGACATAATATCAAGCAGAAAGGTGATAAGAATGAAAAAATTGATCTGGGGATTATTGCTCCAATACCAAATTTTCCATACTTACATCATAAAAATTGCACGGCAGATATTAAGGAGAATTACTTATGAGATCTTGGGAGTGAAGGGGTTAATTTTCCTCGTACTTAACTACCCTTGTTTCCTTTTTAGTTTATTCTTGTATCTTTCCAGGCGCTTGACCTGACTTGTAGTATTGCTATGATTAGCTTGATTTAACTCTCTTCCAAAAACCACCACAAAGCACTATTGATTAGAATTAGCCTTGTCTCCAGGCAACGAAAAATATATCACTAAGAAAATAATTTCAATAATTTTCAATTTTTAAATATCCCCTCCTTTGAGATAACATGAAGTGCCCCTTCTCTACTCTCAACAATGATCAAAGGCTCGTCACTGTTTCATTCTCAATAATTACTTCAGTGTCTCTTTTTATAACAACCCCATCAGTCTTTGAGGATATTTTCTTAATTGACTTCGTCATTACGGAAGATTTCCTTCTCCGCTGACCAGTTCTTTTGGTTGGAACCAGTCCATCCATGTCGTCCATCATTTGTTCTAGGAACGCCTGGTCATCAGTTTCCATGGGAACAACAGAAATGTCACGCACCGCGCGAAACTGACCGCAGTTGTTCAAGTGCTCGTTCTCGAGACGGAAGAAATTCCAAATAAAACGCCTGAAACATAGGAATTTGAGAAAAACACTGCCTTGAAGCAGACACTTCATTGTTCGTGAATTTTGAAAAAACTCCTTTCATCTTTCTAATTTTTAATTAGAAATACATATTAATATTCGTCATCTTTACGGTCCTAGTTCCTTTCCAGTTCATCAACCCCGTTATGTCTATCCTCGCAAAGTATTACTTTCAAGGTTTCCTTTCAGCAACTGGAAATTCGTCTTACAATAACACATGACGTTACATTTTCACGCAAAAACTTTACCCACTGGTTGTTTTTTGTAATGCTGTGGTTCGCACTTCATTTACCGAAAGAAAATAGAAAAAGAGGAAAACAATAATGAGTCACCACAGCCAGTATATGGAAATGATAGTGGTGTGTCAAACATCGGCGCCATTAACGCACTAAGTCATACGCAGTAAAGGTGGGCAATGGATTATAAAGGGATAACGTAAAAGTGCAGCATTGGGGAAAGGGAAAGAAGTATTGGACGCCGGTTGAGTGAAGTGTACAGTGCATGATGGGAAGGTGGAAGGGGAAAATAGAGTCAGGCAAACTTTGATGTTGGGAAAAAAGTCAATCAATCAGGATTGATATTTGTTTGTTTCATTTTGCACAAAATTACCATTTGACTTACCTAAATACTTCGCACACTGATAAAATAAGCTTCAGAATCTCAGAATGAAATATTTCTAGTTCTCCTACAGAGACTGTTAGCGTCCATAACAACCGGAAAATCAAGTCCTCCACCATAGCGAAGTAGTAAAATGCCTAAAAGGAAAAACGAAACAGTAGATTTTATGCTTGCCACGAGGCTTCAGCCGATGACTAAGTACAATGTAAGTTTCTTCTGTGTCAATGCTTCCTTTCATTTCTTGTTCAGAAAGCAGCAACAATTATATAGACCTTGGAATCAAGTAGTTACAACTTGAATGACATGGATCACAACAGTCTTAGTAGATTCGTTTCGGTTTATCATCGATCCCTACTAAGTCTATAGCATGTTTCTTTCCACCCTTTCACCCTATGATTGACCAATACGTAATTTCTCCTAACAATATCACCACGCTATCAGAAAAAAACAGGTGATGAGAATCACAAATACATCGAGTAAATGGTGTTTTAACAGAAAAGAAAGGAAGAATTTTAATCAAGATCTTTGAAGTGAATGGTTACAGTCCGTGTTAAGGAGCCATCGTTGCTGATGTTCTATCCTGCATCCATACACCCAATCGAGAAATCTCCAACTCACCTTGGATCTATAAACCGTTTCCTCTCTAAGAAATATATTTTCGCCGGACTTTTTATCTAGTAGGCCCCAGTCCATCTTGATGTCCCAGGTCAGGGTGTAACACGTGCTGATAATAGCAGCAATGATCCAGAGCATGAAAAAATGATCAGACCGAACAGAGTCTGATTTGGCTGTGAAAAGAAAATATCTACTATCATACACAACCTAAAAACCTCTCTCACGAAATTCACGTTATTTTGCTTTAGATGCACATTCTTTGCTTTAATAGACGATTTATCTCCGTGATCAACGAAAGTAGCTGTACCCTCCTTCATTATTCCGAGACACGGTGGTTCAGTGTTTACTTTCCACAGACTTGACCCGGATCAAATAATCCGGGCTTGACATCAGGCCTGGTTCATTGTGTTGTGTTCCTGGCCACACACTAAACTCCCACTGACTCTCCACACGAGGTAAAAATGTGAACCGCCAAGAAAACCAGACGAGATAGTCACTGTGGACGACGATTGATGGATTAGCATTCAATCCCGAAGGAGAAGCAATAATCCTGGTCGTTTCATGTTGCAGGAATCAATCACAGGGTAAGAAGACTTTTTCATACCCCATATTTCTTGTTGATTGTTTTGCATCAGGTGATAGCGTTCCCCGCAGATGCCTCTTAACCCACTAAGCGGTAACAGCTGCCAATATTTTAAGTTCTGATTGAATTTCCGCTAGCTGTGCTCTTTATACTTCAAGCCCCTGCTTGCAGCCGCAAGTCAGCGAAAAAGAATACATTTTATACCCATCACAACAAGAAGAAAAACGCCCTTACCAAGCGTAGAAAACGCCACCACGAAGAATGATGTGGAGTACTTGCCAGCGTTAACAAGATGTGGAAAGGCGTGTTTGGTGTCCCTGTACCGCCTCAAGCACTGAGCAAAACGGAACCAGGCAGGTAGGCAGGCAACGAGAGGACGGATACCATATAATGTACCATCACAAATCATATCTTCCGCTGAAATAAAATATATATGCACATATATGCGGAGTAATTCGTTATAAAACGAGGACAACAAAGCGCTTCTCTTTGAAGGAGTGCCAGAATTAGCAACCTCTTTATGGGCACGCTCAATTCCACCACCAACCTTCCGTTTTCAAGGGCAGGCTTGGTTACCGCGTTGCGTTCTGGAGCACCTTGACCTCAGTGCCTCTGTCAACTCACGAGAAATAACGAAGAGAAAATACAAAAATTCTGGATTGTCATTAACCTGGAATTTCCTAGACCTCCATCCAAATGGTAAAGAAATACTCCATATCACTTTATAACTCAATAAGAACCTGGAATGATCTTCAGCAGATGTAAGTCATTGAGCCCGTGAAGACGTTAGCCAATTAGTTGTAAAAATAGCTTTCATCGTTGCCCTTTAGAATGACTGGACCAGCTTTTGGGGACATTGAAAAGAGGACTGACATTAAATTTATTTTGGAGAAAGAGTGGACATTTCAAGATACAAAAATATATTATATAACAACTACACTCACAGTTAGTCACGTGCCAGTCATGAGCGTAGAAACAAATAATGAACTGGAAATCAAGAAGTGCCACAGCTAAACTGTTAAGTTGATCTGCCAGCCAGAAATCGGCGAATCCCACGTGTTGAAAAGGAGCAGTAAAAATGCGAAACTTTAAAGAGAACAAATAATAAAATGTTACCATTCAGATAACTCCATTAAAATGGGTTAAGTTTTCCTTTCCGAGGGATGCTGTATTTTTGTAAATTTATTTTGATTTTGAATCACGTGCCTCAATTTGGCGACTTTTGGTTTGTGGGGATAGACTGAAGCGATTGGCCAATTAACAAATCTATAGGTGGCTGGAGAGTATGGAAGTGAACCGTAATCAGACGTCCCTAGATTTCAGTTTTCAGACGTTGGCAACTCTGCAAAGGTCGCACCTTCATAAGAAACCTTTGACCTAACGTGTCATGGCGCGACCTTTATGCGATCAGTTATGAAAAACTTTCAAACTAAATGTTCCCAACCCTAGCCCAAGCCCTCACTTTATTACCTAACAAAAGAGGAGAAGTGAACAAGAGCGAGAATGAACTTGACATTAAAGCTGGAATCTTCGATTAAATTCCCAATGAATAAAGCTACATTTGCACTCTGAACGATGAAAAAAATTTGCCTTAACTCACCAGAACTCTAAGAAGCCAGAAGCGTGCTTTGTAATAGCAGATTTTGAACGGATTGATCGTGAACAAGAATAGGAACGACACTAGAACCAAATTGGGAGAGAAGGATTCTATTCCTATCTTGTGACTAAACATGAACACCACAAGACTGATGGCCCACAGGACACCCAGCAACAGCGCAACCTGAAATGGTAAGAAACGGTTTGTGTGAGAGGAAAGGGCCAATTATCAGTTCTCTAACTCAACAATAACGCAGGGCGACGCCATCCTTGAGAACTAAGAAAATAAATTGAACAGGATGGCATTTGCCAGCACCTTTTATTGCAATGGCGGTTGACTAAGATTGTCTGTGAGCGATTATTTTGTCCCCTAACTCTTCTTCCTCCTTTTAAAGAGTACATTCCTTTGACTAACTCGATTATTTTGTAATTCAGTAATTTCTTTCAAAAGTGAGAATTTTGTGAAACGTACAGCGAACAATTGTTTCTTAGGTGGAGTAGATGGCAGTTAGTGCTCTATGTGGGTCAAGCCACAAACTTGTTTATCAGGTAATTTAGTGTTAACAACTGGGTTGAAAACGTAAATTAGCGATTAGCTAATCGCTAATGACGAAGGGCTAACACTCGAAACGTCAGCTTTTTTACCCTTTACAGTGGCTAATTTACGTTTTCAACCCAGTTGTTAACACTAAATTACCTGCTATACTCTCCCACCGACGCAGCACCACAGTTTCTTTAGAAACTTACCCCTTTATTCACAAACTTGTTTATGTCGACCAGGAGGGCTTCAGGGACATGGCAGAAACATAATGATTTTAAAAAGCCTTGGGATTCTCTTTTTACTACTCTATCCCTAACAGGAGTAAATGAGATTTGATGTTCTATTGGGTAAAGGCACAAAATTGCTTGCGTCGAACAGGATTTGAGCCAGACGTCAGAAATGCAATGATTTCAGAAAGCTTACTCTACCTCTAACAGATGTTGGTAACTGAGGTGGTCACGTGGGTCAAGTTCAAATATGAGCACGTGATTAACACCAGCTTGGCGCCAGCCCCAGGTATTCACGGCCAAAAGAAAAGTGACTAACACAAATAGGAAAACTCCGCGGTAAATACGTATGGCAATGTCAAACTCTCCACTGTGATCTGTAAAGAAAGCTGGAGAAAACAATATCGAGACAGTTTTTCAGGAAAGTTTTGTATGAAATCGTCTCCTAAAAATTTATTTTTTAAGGAAGGTTTTGAATGAAAGAGTCAAAAGTAAACCTGATTTGATATAAGGCTCTGTATGTAATAGGGAGTATTACATCTCTTGAAAGTTGCATTATGAACTCTTACCCGTAACTGTAGCAACGGAAATAAGCATCAGGAAGAGACCAGCTAAGAATCCCACTCGAAATGAAACCCAGTTTCCATGCTAGGGAAGGAAAAAAAGAGATCCACAACAGTCATTTCCTCTCTTAATGAAAGCTTTGTCTAAGCAGGTAAAATATAAAAGAAAGAGCAAATATGGGGTAGATTCAGTGACTGACAAATTAAGTTGGAGGGGATGGGAATATGGTTAAAAGGTACATCACAATACCATTGAGAATATGACAAATCTCCCTTTTACTGCTCTTTTGATGCTTGATTGTATAGGACATGTTCTCACAACCATAGTGCAAGGCATCATCAGTGTCAAGTACCTTGACTCTGATGATGTCTTCTGCTCAGGTTGTGAAAGGTTCATCACTTTCACCAATATCACTTGTTTTCAGGACTATCCTCACACTAACAGTTCCACTACATCTTTTAACAGTTATCCCCTGTTTCAAAACCTGATGTTTTGCTAGCACAGCAATTTGTATCATTTCCTCTTTTTCATAATTTCAAGAATGTAATAGAGTCTTAGTCAAGAAAAAGTTAAGATACATTTAAAGTCACAAACACAACAATGGACATTGCGTTGTGTGTAACATAACTTACCCTAAGTTCCTCTGCCAAAGGAGGAACTCTCAATCTGTTCATGGCTTTAGAGCGGTTTCCATCCTCAAGTTCAGATATATATAATTCCTGAAAATTTATGGCAAACCAAAATAAGCAAATTCGACAGAACTTGATCTCCAAACCCAGGTTATTTTTTAATACAAAGAACTCTTGTTTAAAGTTTTAATAATGGGAATAACATTTCCATGCATAATGACACTTGAAAAAGGTATTTAGCACTCACAGCAAAATTTATATTCTTGAGACTGCTAAATTAAGTGCTCTGAGGAGAATAATACAACAAGTACTCAAACTCTCACCTCAGTGTTTAGAATAAGCTCATCTACATGTTTATTAACAAAGAAATCAGCCACCTCCACTTTTTCTTTCCTGTACTCAGCACCATTAGTAGTTTCAAATAGCTAGAAATGACACAAGTTAAAAAAAAAATAGGAAATGACAAGGAAAACGGATAAATGATTTGCCTCTAAATATATCCACTTGTTTTCTCTGATTTGATTACCTTCAAATAGGATAGATAGATAGATATATATATAGGGAGTCTGCAAGTCGATTTTCATGTGGAACAGTGCTCAATACGTTGAGGCAGAGCGGAATAAATATTTTAAGAGGAAAAAAGGATGCAACCACATTTACCCGACAAGCCTGTTTCGTGAATCGCTTCACTCTTCAGGGGTTTAATGAAAGAATATTCATGTGACTATCGTGTATTTACTAGGAAAATTTACATAATATGCGGTAAACTTAAAAACTTTAAAAAAAAAGAAACAAAGCGTTGCTACACAACAGCTGAACTTTAAAGTTTTTAAGTTTACCGTGTATTATGTAAATTTTCCTAGTATATACATGATAGTCACATGAATATTCTTTCATTAAACCCCTGAAGAGTGAAGCGATTCACGAAACAGGCTTGTTGGGTAAATGTAGTTGCGTCCTTTTTTCCTCTTAAAATATTTATATATATTTGTATATATACACACATACTATTATATTATTAATTAAAATATATATCTTATTAGATGTTTTGGTGTGTAGCCCTATAGGCTCTTCAAAGAGAAGAGTCTAGTGAATGTTCAGTACCTTATCATGTTTCTTGAGAATTTTCCTAAATCCAGTAAAATTAAGTTGCTGAAAGTTGAATGAAAGTATGCTTATCAAACATGATCAAAGTGCTTAGTGACCTTTTGGTGTCATCACTTCAGCTTATTCAAAGGTGTCCCATTAGTTAGTAAACCAAAAAAAAGAAACATAATGTCAAATATAACACAAATCAGTAAGCATATGTCTTTTTGAACAATATCAATCAACCCATAAAAGATAATAAAACAATAAAAAAGATAATGAAAACCCATGAACTCTTAAAAAAGGAAATTAGGTACTTGCAATAATTGTTTAACTGAAACATAATTTTACCAAACAGGGTCAAGAGATCATACAAAATATGAGACCATAATACCTTGGAGTGTTGTGCTTTGACCAGCTTTCAAAAGAGTAAGTAGGGATGGAAAGGACAAAAAAATAGGCAAAGTAGCAGAAATAGTCAAAAACAACTTTGATTTCTTCTCAAACCTTAGTGGTTGACATGTAACTTCTCCCTATAACATCTGTTTATTATCTAAATGTCTTTTTGTACAATATCAAGTAAATGGGTAATGACAACATTGAAACTTATCACTAACAGGTAGAAGTTGTTGCCTTGATCTAACTCCAGTTTACACTAATTTACTTGGAAATAGGGAGGATTAACAGTCAGATCTTGGGTGTTATAGGGTAAAAGAATTATTTCCAAAAAAAAAATTATCTTGTAGTAAATGAAGCCCTCATAATAACTTCCTGAGTAGTTTCTAATGTTCATAGTTTCTAATGTTCATAAAGCTTACACAGAACCCCAAAACTGTGAGTTAAAAGTAGTTTCTTGTGTAAATGTTTACCTGATAATTTTGTAGAAGAACTAAGCTAAGATAAAATTCCCCAAAGGCAAACTTGAGATGATTGACCTTCTTCTTTCTTTTGACCTTGACCTTTTTGCTGGGTTCAGGTGCAAGTGTCACTTTTTTTGATGTTGCCAAGGTGCTGAGGCTAGGTCCTACTTTAAGAGAGCCAGCCATATGAAGTTCATTTTTGAGAGCTGTGTACTTACGACCAGCTTCAGCAATCTTCTCTTCAAAGGGAAATATCAAAAATTGGTTCAGTATGTCAGTATCTGAGCAGCTGTGTGCCTACCCCTTCCCTAACCCAACATTAACCCTACCTAGTCAGTTATCAGACTGTTTGACTGTATGGTGGAATGGTTACCAAAGGATCTTACATATGTAAGTCAGCAAAGTAGAGAAAAATGTCCCTTCCACTAAAAAACTGCTAAGTACAAGGAGTATGAAGCATTTCAACTTTCAAGTTTGCTCCACAATATCATTTCATGATTCCATAATTTCTTTACAACATATTTATCCAGGGACACTACAATATGCTATAAAGAAGGTACCTACCTGCAAAGAATGTATTAATTTTTTCTAGTTCTTCATCACAGTACCTAAACCACTGCTCTTCAAATGATGAAAAATGGCCCTGTACAACTGAATCAGGATTTTCTGCAAAAAAAAGACATTTAATATTAGTGTAAATATATTTTGTAACACAACACATTTTAACAAATACTTCTTTAAAATTGTCAACTATAGTTGTTTGGAAAATAAAGCAAAGTAAGAAACTCAGGCTTAACAGAATCATCAACTATTATAACTACAGTTGATGATGCTTCTTATAACAAAATACTAAGTTTGTGGTATAAGAGTATCAAATTTTGGCCATAAAATATTATTAAACTTTCATGGAGTATATTGCAAACCCATAATCACTTGAGCCCTTGGTTGATTTAATAGCCCAGTTGGTTAGAGTGCTACACTACCATAGTGAGATGGTCATGGGTTTACATCCTGTGGTCATGCTTTATAATCACAAAATTATTAAAAGTTATTCAATTGATAGTGGTAATAGGAGCAAGCCGAGTCCAATTCGGTCTGTAATCATACAAGTGATTAACAAAATTGGATAACTGAGAAGAGGGAGACCGATTTTTTAATCCCTAGTATGATTATGGACAGGATTGGACAACACAAAGCCCTGTTACCAATTCATCAAAACTACAACAAAATTCAAGTTAGAAACTGGACATTGGTTATACATTTTCATAATATCATAAAATGCAAGACAACAGCACATGCAAATGAAGCATTCTGTCCACTTACACAGGCATGACATGTTAACTGTCCCTTTAACTGTGCTATTACACCATCCAATAACAAGCATGACAAGTTCACTGTCCTATTAGTGCTCAAATCAGGCTGGTGATAACCAATCAAGTTTGAGAATATTATTTTGTTATAGTTTTGATAAATAATGGTAATAGGACCCAGTGGAGTTCAATTTGGTCTGTAATCATACGAGTGATTAACAAAATCAGACAACCTTGAAGCAGGAGTCCAATTTGTCAATCACGCCTATGATTAACCAGCAGAATTGGATGAAACAAAGTTCTGTTACCAATTAATCATAACCACTATAATGAAAAAAAAAACAACAAAAAAACATTTAGGACAGACATCTCCATCAGGGATAATGTCTACAGTAAAAAATTTACAGCCAACTGTCCAATTACACTATCCAATTACAACTGTACAGAGTGATTAGTGAAATATAAAGCAGCTGATGCACCAATCACATTTGAGGAAATTGTAATGGTTATAATTATATCATTAATGGGTTTGGAAATACATTCTTACCATCCTTCTGTGGCAGCTTTTCCAGTCCACCATAAAGTACATCCTTAAGTTGCTTAAATTTGGAACAAAAAATGAAACACCAAAATAACAAATTCACTTTAGTTAACCCATGAAGCCCCACAGGAAACTGATGAAATGTAAGCCCCCTCTACTGGAACCCAACTGGGACCACAGGTCTAGACCAAAATGACTTGTTTATTGAGTTCTCACATTATCACTGAGAACTCCCACTTATCAATAACCATATTAAACAACTATCTTATGAATAGACATATTGCAATATGCATGCTCCCATAAAACAAGAAATCTTCTTGAACACAATACACTGCCATGTATAAATCATTCCAAAAATGTAAGTTTATCTGACATTTTTTTTTTTATAGAAAGGATAATGTTTCATCAAAGAGACATCCACACATGTCTGTACAAGTATTGAAAATTTCTCTCAGTATGCAGTTAGGAATTTGTACAACTGCACCTCTTCAGCTAATCAATCTAATGCATTACATTCAAAATGACTTTTCTGCTCACTTATTTGCTCATGACAAATTTATTTAACTTCATACACTTTAGGAGTCAAATGGTTGAGAAGGCAGTCAATGAATCCCAGCTTAAACTCAAGAAAGGTGTGCGCACCAAATAAGAAAAACTCAGTCAACAAGTTAACATGCCCACCTAACACTGATAGTTTCAGTTTTGCTTCTATCTATATTCTTTTCTATGTTCTGTTATTGTGTACGTAAATATTGTTCATTATGTAAGTTTCTCTAGATTTTTACAAAATAATGGAAACAGTTCTTTTCAAATTACTTGGTAACTAATATATATGTGAGACATCCGAATATATTTCTCAGATTAAAATTTGTGGTCTTTATAAAAAGTGTGAAGTACTTCTTCAGAATGTAAGAGAGACCCGTGAGATCAGAGTCATAAATATAAAGGCAAGTTGACAGGTTAAGGCAAATTCCCTACTTATTTTCTAATTTTAGCTCATTACTGAGCACAAAATGACGTGCTGATCTAATAAAGCCGAATTTAACGAAGGTTTTACATCTTGATATTTCTCTGTTTCTGTTCATGATAAGGTGTAACAGGGAATAAAATATGAAAGAGAAAAACTATTCAGCCGAATATAATATTGAACCATCTACAATCACATCAAATTCACGTCTTTTTGTGTGTGTAAAATTCGAAACACTTTTAAGCTCACAAGTAACGTAATCAACAGTTGATATTCTAACCTGTTTATTTGAAATTATTTCTGCACCGGTAAACAAAATTACAATCGTCTAAGGGAAATTTATGCATGCACTACTAGGCAAGGTTGTCGGCAAAGAAAAATATCCCTTTGTTAATGTGGGCATAAAGAATGATTCAAATGATTCAGTCTTGTGCTACTAACAACAAAACATAACAAAAGTCATGTAAATTATCTTTAAGATAATCTCAATACACGTATCATTGTTCTCCAAATCCATTATTTTAAATTATACCGGAACTTTAGAACTAGACTTTAGACAGTTGTGATAAACAAATGATGACCGTGGCTGTAAGATAACAAAAATTTCTCAACTAAGCAAAGCTTTGAAGCAATCAAAAAATACGGTATTAATGAAATAGTTGTACCTCATATCTTATGTATTGGCTTCGCCATTCCGGCGTTATATGAGCACCAAGATGCTCTGTAAACTTCATGTGTATCAAGCAAAGTCATCAGTTGCACATGGTGACCTCTTAATGCTCAGGGCCATTTCGACGTCAAAATGTAAAAATAAACTTTAACTCCCTCATAATTCAAGATGGCCGACTATGTGAAGTGTTTCCGGTATTTTCCGGCCATGGAAATTCATTCCCAGGTTTCCACGGTTTTAATATCAAATGAGGAAAACTGGAACGTAAGTAGTAATCCAACATGGCGGCAAGGGATGCGCTAATTTTCGTGAGAAGTGAAATGACTGGTGATCAATGATTTTTTGGAAGATGTCGTCGTTGAAGTTTCTCTCTAACTGTCGATATATCGCGTCACCATTTACGAATGTACAAGATCTTTCCTGGAGGCTGCTTATGAGGAAATTCGGTGTACATCTGTGCTTTACGAATGCTGTGAAAGCGTTGGACGTAGTACAAGATGCTGAAAATACACGAGACAATTTACTTGGTTTTTCAGCGTTGAGCCAGGAGGATCGACCATTGATTGTTCAGGTACAAGATTAACTTAAGTAGAGATTGAGGTCTCCTCCAGTGCATGGCCACTTATTTCTTGATCTTACATGAACCACGATAACTAGGGCATGTTCTTGAGTGTCTTTGTAAACATTCTGACTTGAAAATCACCATTTTTTGGGTTTACACCTGTAGTTGTTTTCAGAAGAACCTGAAATTTTAGTAAAGGCAGTGAATGGATTGGAGGGCCTATGTGATGCTGTCGACATCAGTAACAACTTTACCACTGACGGTTTGAGTGACCTCCCCGTTGACAAACAGCATGACAAGTGGAGCTCGTGGTTGAGTTGTATTCAGAGAGTTCACCAAGAGTGTAAAATGCCTATTATGTGCAAGCTTCCTTTTAATTGGCAAACAACTGACGAAGCAGTTGAGAGGGGTAAATCACTCCATAAGGTTGGATGTGAGGTATGATAATTTTAAAGGAATTGTGTATCATCAAATGAAGCTGTGAGTTGATTTACTATTTAGTATTATTAACAAAGCCCTTTCTATGACAACTGAAGGGGAAAACACATGTGTACACTGCATGACAAGTTCAATTTGAATTTAGCTATCCATTCCCAAAAAAAAAAAAAAGGTAATCAAATATGACAAAAAGCAGTGTGACAGTTTTCGATTAAAAAAAGGAAAAAAAGGAGCCTTTTCCCTATTCCCACACTTTCAAGTAGGATATTGCACTCTGACAATGTTTTTTTTGGGATATCCTGCACTTATTTATTTGATTTACTGGTACTAACATATTTAATCATATAATGTTATAAATGTTGGGTTAAATGAAGATTGTCTTGTCTTGATGATAACAAAATTATACATTACAAAAAAAAAAACAAACAAACAAACAAAAAAAAACTGTCTCATTTTAGTGAAAAATGCTTAAAACCCAAAGAGGCTATATTAACCTTAGAAATTAAGTTATTTTCATCTGGCCATATATTATGGTCACAGTCACCATTTTTAAAGTCCCATAAGTGAAACTGGAAGATGCAGTGCTTCAATGGCTGGTGTAATGGGCTCAGGATTGAAAGATTATAGGGTTCAAGTCTTGGTCATAGTCTCTGTGTCATGTCCTCTGGCAAGGTACTCTTCTTTCAAACCCACTTCTCTCCAATGCAGAGTATAAAATTATGACTCCCAAACTTCCAGATATGTGTATGTATATAAACATTTTGTATGCGTGATGAAGTGGTGGGGTGTTACCCATTATGGACTGATATTTTTTCCAGAATGAGTGCTCATGTTTTAGAACCTGTGATAAGCTCTTGCAGCTATTTAAGTTAGTGTTATTTATATGTAGCCTTTTTGCCACTTATTTTACACACCCAGTCAGATATTATCTCAGCCTTTAGCTTAACCCTTTAACTCCCAAGATCTCATTAGTAATTCTCCTTACTGTCTGCCAAATGATTTTCATTATGTTAGTTTGGAGAACTTGGTATTAGATCAATTAGTGATCCCATAATTGATATTTTTCTTTGTTCTAATCACTTGTCTACATGATATTGTATAGATATAGTAAGGAGAAATTCTGTCTTGGTCACTCACAGGAGTTAAAGGTTTGCGTTACAGGTGTAAGTCTGCCTAGCTTTTTTGATTTGTGTTTTACTAATTTACATTTGACCAATTTTATTTTTGTAAGCTTTTACTACTCCACAAGCACAGTGCAGAGAAGATTAATGCCAGTATTTCTAAGAAGGACTGGGATTCAGTCAAAGTAATCCGGTGAGAGCTTAATTGGTGTTTTCTATCAATCTCTAGAATATATGTCTGTCTGAGCTCTTGACTATGAGTTGTTAGCTGTGGTCACACTACAGACTTTAACTATAGGGAAATTGATTTACAGAGGACAAATTTCCTGAATTCACCCATGGTAAATCTATCTTGGGTTTCAATTTCCCAAGATCAGAAGGTGACACCAGCCTTTGTCACTGGTTTCTGGGTACAATACAACAAAACAGCAAAATATTTGGGGTGCAAACACATACTTTGTAAACATGCTTGAAACTCAAGAATATCAATATTTTTTTCTCTCAATTCTTTTTAATTTAATTTTTTTTTTCAAGGAGCATAGCAACCAAGAGTTATTTTTCTACAAAATTTAATTGTTGGTGTGCACAACAAGGGTGACAAGCCATATCCCTAGCCAACAACTGTGTTATCATCTCTTGAATGTTGGCTGATTCTAGGACAAAAATTAATATTTTGATTGTGAACAGATCTCAAAGATTTTGAACATTGGAAGAAAATGGTGGAATACTCCTAAAATTGAGATTGATACAATATCAATTGAAATTTAAATCACATGAGAGTAATAAATCATGCCATCATATGATATGGAAAAGAACGCATTGCAATTTTGGGGTTTCAAGTTCCCATTCTGTTACTCTTGGGTTGCTGTCATGGGGAAACCTTTTGTTTTCCTGATGGATCCTAGCTCCGTAAGCTAAAATAAAACAATAAAAATTGGTCAAACCAGCAAATTTAAGTTTCTCATGGGTGGACTGTCATCAAGTTGGTAGTGTGTAACCACATTTATTATTGACTATTTTTCAGAGAGTCTGTTTCCCTTCCAATAATTGTTGATGTTGGTTTATCCTCTAAATGGGAAGTCGATGAATGTATAGAGTACACAGGAGTTCAGGGTGTGACTGCTTCAGGTAATGCTTCAAAGTAGTTCTGTCCTTGGGATGTTAAGTCCACATGTACAACCAGCGGCAAAAGTAGTTGGCAAGCCTCCCCTTATTAGGAGGCTTTCAACCCATCACTCAACGTAATAAACAGAGGTCTTGTAATTCATCTTCAATTTGTTACTTGAAGGTCCCCCTTTTCCCTCCAAACAATGTTGTAGGAAATTAGTGTCCATTTTGTGAATACCAGGAAACATTGAAATGGGGCAGAGAGGGAGTGAAAGTTTACAGAAAAAATTAAAAAAGTATAACATGTGCCATGACTCTTGCCACTCACTGTAGTTAGGAAAAGGCTGTGAATAATTTGACCCATAAGCAGCACAAAGGAAACCCCATATCATTACTCATTAAGGACAGGTAGATGTTTATCAAGATTGTATTTTGCCCAAATTTTTTAGATGCATGTAACTTTATGTGATGCTCAAGTGACTCAGCATATACATGTAGCTATGGAATGTTAGATCTTGATACATAAATGTTCTTGTTAGACTTCAATTTCAGCTACAACCTTTTACCTAGGTAGCAGATTTGAATATTGCGTTCTTCAAGCTTTTTCCTTCCTTCTGCCATTATTGTTATTATTTTTTTTGTTTTTCTTAAGAGTCTTTGGAAGGTAACCCATCACTTTTCTGTAAGAAACAGCCTCCAGTGTTAGATGTGGTCAGGCAGTACTTGGAACTTTGCAAAGTCCATCCTACATCCATTTCCAACATCAAACATCATATCAATGGATTTTGTGGATTTTAGTAAGGAAATGAAAATCCATTTTTTTTAATCAATTTTTTTTACATTTTGTATCTTTTTGATCAAGCAATAATATTGTAATGATCATGTCACTGGATATTTTCCTTGATAATTTGTACTTGTCTTTAGTTTAACCCTTTTGCTTCCAAGACCCAACTTGAAATTCTCCCTTCTGACTGCCTTACATTTTCTTGAGAATTAGACAGGAGAATCTGGTGTGATATCTAGATAACACCCTCCAGATGATATCTTGGTTCTTGCAACCTGTCATCTAGATAACATATTTGAATTACAAAGAGAAATTACATGTTTATCACTACTAGGTGTTGGAGAGTTAAGCAGAGCCCTGACGTTTTCTTCGTACTATGTTTAAAAAGTCTCAGCAGGTTTCATGATTTGAGCACCAGCCTTAAAGAGGTACAGAGCTTAGAGGGCATTGAACAGCTGATGGAGGAATTAGGAGAAAATATTTCTAAGCTTTCTGTAAGTTTTCATCAGAAAAAAGTACTAAATTATGTTTTTTTTTCATAATTAATATTCCTCTTGATTCCTTTTCTTTGCTGAATTCCTTCGCTTTTGACACTTACGCAGATGCAGATGTAACTTTTATAAGTAGGAAGATGCAAGTGACTGTGTAGTTTTGTCGTACAGTTTAGGCAGGCGTAAGATACAAAACCAAACCCTCAGGAGACATCCCTCTTAAGCCTCCAACAAATCAATCCATTAATCATTCAATTAGTCAATCCATCCATCCATCAGCCATTAAAGCATAAACAGCTGAGAAACGTCAGCTACTGCAGTGCCTCTCAACAGTACGTTGACAGTCTCGACTGAAACTCGATCCTCGAGGATTGAGAGTAGAGGCTCAGGGAGCGAGAATCGAGAATCAATGATCGAGGATCGAGACGCGTGAAGAACTTTTCGAGATACTCGGTCGGAGAAAACGATTTTATTCTGGCATGCAAAACAAAAGCAATTTAAAGGACAGAGCGCCACACACGCGGCTTTATGACACAGAGGCCACTCGTGTACAACACGGGCGACGTCAGTTTTCCTTGGTTTCGGAATTACGTGTACCAACAAGTCTAATACCAATCAATAAAAATGTAAACAATCACATTCCCACAGACACCGTGCTTTGAGGTTCACTAATATTGCGTTCGTTGTTGTTATCGACGAGAGGATAATCTCCAACCGTAATACTTACAAAAAATAATTTTAAATCGAAGATATCTTGCTAAATTGCAATGACTGTATGAAGAAAAATTTAACCAATTGCACAAGCGCCCTTGCCCCCACTTGGGCATAATGTCAAACAAGCACCCCTCTGTAATCAGCGTTCCTTCCTCCCTCTCTTTCTTAAATAGTAGGGATACAAGGTAAACCTGTTTTTAATGCCATCTTATTTATACCTTTTTAAGGTTTAATTACAGCGGAATCAGTACGGGAGAATAATAAGCGCCCCTCGATTAAGCGCGCCTCTTCAGATAAGCAGTAATACGGTACATCAATCACGATTACTGTAGTATGTCGCCGTGACGTCACCATCTCGTTCCCTAGACGCGCAGACAAACAAGCTTATTGACGATTGTACAGCAAAGATATATTTCCCCACTCTTGTTCCTGTCGAGCCGCGTGAAGAAAAACTATCGAGAACATTTACTGTCATAAATGCTGTTTAGTTTGCTTAGTTTGCTTTCTTTTACAACACAGGGAAAAGAATTAAAGTCTCTGACAAGCCTGAGAAGGAAGAAGGTAAAGATTTAAGATTTATTTGCACGTTATTGTAAAAATATTCTCTAAGTGGTTCACTTTGCACAATAAATACTCTCTTTTCTTGTCAGAAAAAAGCTGCTTGTAACAGTAAGCGCTTTTAACTTTCAGGAGTGGAGAAAGCGAGGACGAGACAGAAAGAAGGAAGAGGGGACAAAAGTTGTAAAAGGTGCAGTAGCCAAAAAAAACAAAAAACACTAAAAGAACAAAGGACATTGGATCGCTTTTCGATTGAAAGTTGTGAAACCAAAACCAAATCATTACAATGGCCAATCAGAAGAAAGGAAAATACCCTGAAGAGCCAATGAGAACTCAAAATAAAACCAAATCATTACAATGGCCAATCAGAAGAAAGGAAAATACCCTGAAGAGCCAATGAGAACTCAAAATGAAACCAACCAATATGTCCAAAGCCCGGGAAAACTCTACAGACCAAGTCGTGATTGGTTTTAGTTTTGCATCTGATTGGTTGAGAGAGTGACGCGAGTTTTTCTGGTCCAATCACTGAGGGAAGTAAATAGAAACTAAGGCAATCTCGGATTACATTCGACGCCCATCGACTTTGACAAGGGCATTGTAACAGACGTTTGTCACCATATTGACCGTGTAACTTATAGAAGTCCGTAGTTATCCTTTTCCCTTCAGCGGGGCATTTGATGGGATATCTTGTTTTCCCTTCTTTGAAATGATGAAGAGATTATTTGCGTATTACTCGTTGTTGAAACAACGGTTTGAGATCTGAGTAAAACATGAACTTCGCCTTACTACCAGAAGGCAATTTTGTCTGAAAAACATTTCATGGACATACCATGCATGTCACATAAACTTATGCCTCAGCGCCTGAATTTCGGTACTAGATCTGGCCATAAGGATTTTCTTGAAATTGACTCTGTCAGCGACTTTCAATTCTGATTGTGTGTGTTGTGCAGGGCAGATTCTGATGTATCTCCATTTTGCTTTTCCTTTTCTTAATCTAGAGAGAGACGAAAATCACATCCCAAAAATTGTTTTAAAGAAACTTCAGAAAGAGCGAGTGGGAAACGCAATGAAGTCTGATGCTCAGAGAGTGGCCATTGATTTTACCGTAATAGACTGTATGCTTAATAAGGTAAGAGCATGTGACGAAATGACCATCTAAGTCGTCTTGTGTGTTAATTATAATCAGCGTCAATATTCATCATTTTGGCTCAGAAACTGATGTTCATTTTACGATAATAATCTTTATTTTCTTTTGTCGTCAAACTGAGAATGATAGCTTCACACGTCCATGCGCAGCTTCTGGAGAATTCCCCATCATTTGTCGACTTATAGAATAACCAACTCTACTTTACAGAGATTTTCGAACATAATATGCCAATTTCTACGATGATTCGACTGGTGTCTTCAACTGAAGAAAATTATGGATAGCAAGAGAGGATGAAGTGTAGCTAGTGAACAGGAAAATTCCCATTTTCACACGACATTAACTATTGTAACAGGAAATATCCAAACTCGCTGGTCAATTAATGCGACTGTATGGTTGCAATATGAAGTCGACGTCTCCAGTTCACCTTTACCTGACGGGACTGGAAACCGGCGGCGTAGTGTACCGTGAATGTGAAAGACAGTCGTTCGACTTCACTAAGATATTGGTAAGTGAATCCCGAATTCCTGCCCTTGTAATACAATTGAAACGAAAACGATGGAAACTCTCTCATGAAAATGCTGGATTAAGCCCGTGATTCCATTCGGTGGAATCGCCGTTCAGGGAACAATGTCGGAACTGAAAAAGTTTCTCTTGTAGGTAGGTGTCTCCTCAATCAACACAACAGTTACAGGTTATAGGAGCATTCTAGTTTGCAGTCGGAAGAACTATAGTACCAAGGAGACACGGGTTCGAATTCTGTCGATGCCTGAATTTTTTCAAGCTTCTTTAGTGCACTTTTTTCTTCATGAAGTTCACTTACTAGGATCGTTTCATCACTCGCAGGTTCTTCATAGTACGACTCAAGATTTAACTGTTATTTCGTTTTCTCAGGCGAGCGTGTCAGAGAAAACCTATTTGACTCTGTTTGACGCTGACGATGTCGTGTATTTGACACCAGACTCACCAAATGGTAAGAATCTTTAAAAAAGTACACTTTTGGTTCCACAATATGCGAGCTGTAGGTGAATTACGGCCAAATCTGCCGAACTGTAAGCCTATCAATTCTCCCATCTCCAACGATGGACTTCGCCGTCGGAGTTGCCGCCTCCGTAGCAGCGGTAGTTACCACCGATCAGTCGCACCTTTACGTACAGTGGCCACTGAGCTGTCCCACCCGTGACTGACACGTTAGGCTATGTCACGGTCTCTGCAATAGTTACCACGCCGCTTCTTGCACTTTCCCTCTCTAACTGTTTTTTTTCCCGTAAATTTGTTGTTTGTCGTAAGGGATCAAAGCCTCGTCATTTCAAGTAGGAATTAAAAGTGACCTCTAACAAGCCCTAAACCTCATCCTCGAACCAACGAAGGCAAAAAAATGCTCTCATTTCAGGCGGTAGATCGGTCAAGACATTCCTTATTATTGGAAAGACCTCTATACATTCTCTTTTGATAGAGAAGTGAATCGTAATTTGTGGTCAGAAAAACGTCATAAGTAACTTGAGTGGAAATTCTAGTTTCTGTCATACGATTTATTGGTACTTTAAATATTTTTCTGGTTTCTTTCTCTCTTACTGCTCTTTTTGATAAAAAAAAAGAAACTGACTCAGTTCAAATGAGTCGCTCTGACGAAGGGCTAACGCTCGAAACGTCAGCTTTTTCACTTTTTACGGTGGCCAATTTACGTTTTCGACTCAGTTGTTAACACTAAATTACCTGCTATACTCTCCCACCGACGCAGCACCACAGTTTCTTTAGAGACTTATCCCCTCTATTCAGTTCAAATGAGTTAGCTCGAAAACTTCACAGTTCCTGTAGCCTCTAGGCTCCAGTAATGATTAAAGTATGCTTTTTAAAATGTTGACGGTTAATTATAAAAGTTTTATTAATTATTCATTGTATTAACTCTTTAAGCGATAAAAGATTTGTTTTTTGTATATGAACAACGTTTTGTCCTTGAAATTTCAGTGCTGGATCAACTTAACAAAGACAAAGTCTACATCATTGGCGGACTTGTAGATCATCAAGTGCGGAAGGTAACACTCTGTCCACACCCTTCGATCTGAAGAGTTAGTCAGCTTCTTTTCTCCTGTCACCATGAGAGCAATATCTAGCCGCTTGATAAAAATGATCAACCTGGCCCCGGTTGTTCGAAGGTTGGATAACACTATCCACTGGATAAATCTCTATCCGGTGGATAACGTTTTACTATCACATATAGCGATTTATCCGTTGGATAGCGTTATCCACCCTTTATACAACTGGGCTCTGTTTTGTGTGTGTGTGTTTTCGGATCCTTCACAGGAGGATTTGCTATTCAGATCGTTGGAGTGAATGGGTTCAGATTAAAACTGCTTGGAAGTTATTACTTGGTTGTCAGCTGGAAGTTTATGTAGAGTTGGATAGACCGCCGAAGGGAATAATAAACAGCTGGGCTGGGTTGTTCAAAGCTGGGTTTAGATAACCCAGGGTTAGTGTGAAATCGGATTTCAGCTCTGGAAGCCTTAAAGGAAAATTCAGTAGAATTCTTTTTGTCAACAATTTGATGATTAGATGCTCCATATAGAGTAGAGGAAAATGATCCCAAAAAGGCTATCGAACAAAGAAGTATAGAAACCCAGATTAAAATTTAACCCTGGGTTAGCGCTAATCGGCTTTCGAAAAACTGGGCCCAGCTGATGTTTCAAGCGTCACGCTTGCATTTGAGGAGCGCGGGGTTTTGTAGATTGTATATGTTATCGGAACAATTTTCAATTGAATGTCGACAGTATTCCGGGGCTGCTTTGTTTCTCTTTTAATTTGCTCTGTGATTGGTCCAGAAAACTTGCGCCACTCTCTTAACCAATCAGATGCAAAACTAAAACCAAGCACGTTTTGGTCGCAAGCGTTTCCCGCGCTTTAAGCTGTTTGCTTTGGGTTCTCATTGGCTCCCAAAGGTATTTTCCTTTCATCCCAGTGATAGGACGTTTCGATTACTTTGGTTTTGATTTTACAACACTCAATCGAAAAAGCTCTCTATATAGTGGAGAGTAGATTTATGTTATTATAGTATACACGGCCAAGGATGATGCACGCATTAAGTGATGACATCATTCATTTTTTATTGATCATTTTGAACTAAATTCACATTTCCTGAGTTGATGACACTTTTTAAAGTCAGTATACTGTGTGTTTGGTTTGCAGGATAAGACGAAGTCGCTAGCAGAAGAGAAGGGTTTGTGCACAGCGCGGCTGCCTATCGACAAGTACATGGAATTAAAAGACATTTCGCCCAAGAAGAAAAAGTCCGGAAAGCACGCTTTTTCAATCGTGCTCAGTGTGAACCAAGGTAACACCTAAGAATTCTAAATCTTGAGCAGACTTGACTGTTACAAATGTGCTAATGTGACGGTGAATTGCTATTTAACTCTTAAAATCGATGCATTTTGCGGTCCAATTATTTGGCAATAGACACAGACGTGGTGTAACACTGTCATCGAAGCGTACGGACTGGTGGTCTTGCAGCCATCTTGTGACTACCATATTTCTCAAGTACGCATGCTCCCATCGCGCGCCTTGCTCATAGGAGCTGTTCTCTACTTGCATCACTTGAATTGCCTCAATTTTACTCGTTCGAGTATTACTGTAAACATTTATCTCTCTTTTACAATGCGCCGCAGTGTATTTAGCTCGGGGGCAAATATGACCGAACAAATTAATGAGGAAAGTTGCGCATATTTATTAGTCTGAGGCAAACCAGTTGGTTGTTTACAAGCATAGCTTTGAATGCCGACTGGGGATCATGGGTTGCGCTTTCAGAGTGGTTATCGTCTGGCCGAGTGGAGAACGGCGAAGATAAAAATTTGACCACCACACCATTCCCGCGATCGCTTCGTACCGCAAGATGCAACCTCGTTGCGTGACTAGCCGTTGATCTTCCGCCGGTCGATTTGAACGACTATTCTAGAAACGGGAGCGAACGTGCTTCCGTTGAGGAATGTTTTCCCATGCAATTTGAATTAGATTCTAGCTGATCAGTCTTATTGTTTTTTCTGGTAAACAGCTGTTCGTAGCGTCCAGTTTCTTACGAAAATTCCACATCACTTATTGAAGTGAAATTCTATGCGAAAATCTCGCTATCAGGGTCGAGTTTTCCCATAAAATTTTCCATTAGACGAGAAGACTTCTTTCAGTCGTGCGATTCTTAGACGAAAGCGAATGGAGTCATTCCCTAACGAGTTTTTCAATCCGTATAGTCATGTTTAAGGTAATGAGTGAACCTAACGATGAATTTCCATGCTGCGCGTTAGTTTTTTTACGACGTTGCAAGTCGGTGATTCCCAGTCTTGCATTGTAGCACTGTGCTCTACACAGTATGTGTGCGCGGGGAAAACAATTCAAACCCAATTAATTTTAACTTTGAAATTAAACGGCGATGTTTTTTCTTCTTGGATTTCTTTGTATTAAGATCACTTGGTCGCCTGAACCTTTTTTCCAGAAAAGACTTAATGTTTTTTTTCCTTTTTTAAAACTGCAGCTGTATTTGGTTCTTAGTATGAAATATCCAGTTCCACGCTATCAATTCGCCCAAGGCCTAGCAGGTGGAAGTCAATTCTATCCCCAAGTCTTGCAGTCGTGTAGGAGATGTTTAATAGGATTCGGTTAAAAAAAATGGAGTGTAGTTTGGCAAATTACGCCCTATTTTTATCAAATGTGGCCGACAAACACAGAAAGATCGACGCATCACAATTCGTTGTTACGATTCTTGTTAGCAAGGGCATATTCTGCCTGCAATCAGCAGGTATTCCAATTGGGAATTAAAAATGATAATTTTTATTTCAAAGAATAGTTGTTCGAAACACAACCTAAAATTGAACGAAATCGTTACAATACTTCAGAGGCTGTGTTTGTTGGTGCACTTGTTTTTCCGGCCAGCGGACGCCCGTATTGGAGGATATCTCACGATAGTTTGAGTCACGAGTCTCTTCTGCGGCGTGCAGAACTATATTCAATGCGAGGTACACCACAAAATGTTAGTCAGTTATTACAGATAAAGGTCACAATTGAAAGTATGACGCTAAAGATAGAAAGCAGAAAGGGTTAAAAAAATGGAGAGAACGCGGACACATACGAAAAAGTGAAAAAAACAGGTTGAATGTCTCATCTTATGTAAGACGTGAGGTAAGCGTTCTCATCATTACTGAACAGAAAAGGTGTCAACACCTGCCCTACCAAAAATGTTTTTTTCTTTCACGCCGCACGCACATAAATCAGTGTTATTTTTAAGGCCACAAAGGCTGAGTTTTTCAGTAAACTTTGTGAATCTTCCGGCTTTCAGATACTTTATCAGCAGTTAGAAATAGCGTTTCCACTGCGCGATTTTTAAATAACGTGGGTTACCAGGCAACCACTACTGCTTCCAAATATAGCATTTCCAATTCTAATTGCTCCCCTAAACTGGCGGTCGTTAGTTTGTCTTTGACACCTGAACAGAATATGTCGTTAAATGTTCGATGAAAAGCGACAACCCTGCCACATTTTCACTCAGCTACCCTTGATGGTTGCCAGGAGAATTTCCCCCGTTTCAAGCCGAGCATAACTTGATTACTGTATTATTTTCTTTCACAAGTTGCTAGGCAAAATAAGCTTTATCCAACCATTCGTACAAAAACATGTCTGGTCAAAAAGAAGTTCTAGTATCACTTGGATTGTTTTTAAAAAATGGAAAAAAAAAATTGGCATACTCTTTTTGTCTGTCTGTTTTATTTTCAGGGATGTATTCCAAAAAACAGAGCAGACATTTTATGGTTGTTTGCCTGTTACTATAAACTGACCGGAAAATGAGACAAAATGATAGTTCCCCACGCCGATTGTGAATAGGTTAAATGTTCGCGGCGCCAAGACCAATGGATGAATGAGATCGATTAATTATTGTTGAATGGAAGTCTCTTTTATTTGAGCAATTCAGACACGACTCGTTTGACATCCTTAAACTTTAAAAAAACTCATTAGGATGCTTAATGCGATGGTAGCTGTCATTTCCATCATAGATACGTCGTGGAGTAAACATCGAGAGCGAAAGCATGACCTCTGCCTATTTTCATATAGCCTTCAGTTTTTGTCGAGGTTTTAGAGTCCGACTCTTCTTGTCCTTAAAACTCTGAGACTACAGGACTCGATACAACTTACTTATTCGTAGTAATAGCTAATTGCTTTTCCGTAAACGTTTCTCACAAATCATTATCAAACTTAAAGGAGCCTGTTTTTACATACCATAATCATCAGCAATATGAAAACTGAAAATTTAAATATTTCAACCCAGTCAAATCTTTGAATTACGAATATGAACCATTCCTCTAGTGCTGCTTGGTTCAGTGCGCTAGATATTTCAACCCAGTCAGATATTTGAATTACGAATATCAACAATTCCTCTGGTGCTGCTTGGTTCAGTGCGCTAGCCATCTTTTTTTTATGAAGCGACTGCGAAGCCATCTTGAAACTTCTCCTTTTAAAAGGCACTCCAGATTAATTTCAAACGCAGTGGTTTTCCAGCCCGAATTCTCTAATAAACCAGTCCTTGATTCTGTCTTCTAATTCAGGGTAACTCATTTGCGATCCTGTCGTTCCCTTGTTCTTCAGCATGTGGTGACAGAAATTCTCATTCGGTTCAGTTTTTAAGAGGCTTTTAGGACGCACATTTTTGGCAAAGAATTCTGGAAATAATGATTTAGCTGCCAAATGAACTTCTCTCACACAAGATTCCGTGGTGGTGAAAGTATGAGACGAACTGAACGAATCCAGACTACGGCAGCTAGAGGTGGTGCTGCTTGAAGTAGAGAAGTGTCCATAAAATACCTCTTTCTTGAAACTTTCCTTACGCATTTCTTTTCTAGTTATCGTTTGCAGTTGGTGAGTCATTTCTCTGCTGCGATTTATGTTGTTGTTTTCTTTTTGGTTCAGAAACTTGACAATCCTTTCAGAGCAGAGGAAACAATTAGCAGATCTGCACACGACAGTTAAAAACTAATGATAATAAAGGAATATAGATCAGCTGTCTCGTTTTTTCTTTTTTTTTTTAAGAAAAAAGGAAAGTTACGTAACAAATGTTCTAAACATGTGGCAAAACGCGTGAGTCGCATATTAATTAGAAGCGGAGTCATTTTCATATTCAGCCATCGATTACACCGTATAGCGTTTTGTAGTGTTTCCTGAGAGCGACATCAAAATCGCAAGAACCTTTAAACAATCAAAACGATTTTTCTCCACAAGATAGACACTAAAGAGACTCCTTGCACAGGGCGACATACTTGAACCTCTCTCAGATAACTGAGTGTAACTGGATAAATATCGTTTGTCAATTTTTGCAAGACAAATGTTGTAACAGGATATTTGACTCTAGGTATTCATTTTTTCTGCGGTGCAAAGCGTCTAGAACGTGCGTTGGATCGAAACGAGTGAAGACTTCTTTTTAAGTACATTAACAAAAACCTCTTTTATTGTTAGCTACCGTGACGTATACGACCACCCTTTAAACATAGAACTCGGTGATCATGCGGAAAAAAATGAAAGTAAATGCAATAAAAATACGAAACGATGAAACCAAGATAAGACACATCAATCAAACCATGGAAACACTCTCCGCTGCAGGCCATCTGGTTAATAAGAATTTCAGTGTTTACAAACGAGGGATTGTTCGATTTTTAACGTTACTGAACCTCTCCATTACAAGACTGCAAAACAATTGCTTTAAAGGACTAATAACATTCAACAGCGCAGAAGAACTGAAGAAGTGTTAAAATAAAGGCTACTAAAAGGCGTTAAACAATACTCTATATTAGCATATGAGGGGCTTTTGTTAAGATACACACATTCTATACTCGGCCGAAAATAGATGAGTACCATATGTGTTTTCTGTTCTATGTGTTTTCCGTCTTTATTTAAATATTTTTTCACCTTTTTTTTTATCCTTCTTTCTTTTGAGGCACATGGTTGTTTAGAACTTAAGATCTTGTGCAGAAACTGGTTCAGATTTAGACAGAGAACATCTCTAAAAGTTCACTTGAAGTAACATTTTTGCCGAATACACGTCTCGATGCGGACTGAAATAACAGTTATATTCTTCTTGTCACATTAAACGTGACTTGATACCCCGAACACATTTGTAGAGAAACAGCACGTTTCTTGTGATCAGAAGCGAATTCATTTTTGTTTCGTAAACTCTATCATATTTCAGGGTCGTATTTCATTTTCATGGCTGATTGCGTAAGAGCAAACTTAGTTTAAAACCGAAAGGATAAAGTATGGTGATTATGAGATTTCCGTTTTCGGCAGTTCGTTAGTTGTTCACTAAGTAAATACGTGTCGTTCTTTTTACACTGCAGCGCCGACGGTCTAGACAAGCTGGTCAGCGAGTCAGACATAGGCTATCGTGTCCCAAGATGCAAACTACCAATTTAATGACAAAATCATCCTTTAAAAGGTTGATCTTGGTCAGCGAGAAGGCCCTCCCCCGCTGATAAATCGAACCCTTATCAAATCTCGTTGACGATTGCTACGTAACGAGGGCCGTCGTGTTGGAGGAGAGTGAAATGTTACCAAGTAGAATTGCCTAGAATTGTGTTTGTGTGCTTTGTGTGACTTAGGACAGCTAATCGGTGGACAGGGTCTCGCTTTAGGTCGCGCTGTCGATCATTTTTCCGTGCCATTTTCTATTTTCTATGGGTTTCTACTTAAATCCTTTGGGATCTTAATCACAGGCGTATTTGACTTTATAATGTAGTCCGAAACCACATATTGATTCCTTTGGCTGATCGGTAGAAATGTGAAAGGCTGCAAACCGAAACTTATGCAGTCTTCAGTTGCCGTCGTTAACTTACGAACGTTTTAATGCACGCTTTATATTTATGTATTCCTCTCCGCGAGAGTTTCATACAGGTTTTCTTAATTTCCTTTGGATTTTTTTAATCTGTTTTATTTATTACAAAAATCGTATCTATTTGCTTTACGATTCTACTCGTAGTTTTAAAAGGAATTAATTAGACGTTTCAAAGCAGACTGGAGGCAAAGACAATTTTGTTTTATCTTATCGCCAAATCTTCCTTAAATACGAGTTACTAAGTAAAGAGTGATCCTTTCCATTAGGCCGCTTTTTGAATGAGTGTCTAAAAAAAGCAATCACCAATGCCAATCACAACTGAGGAAAATTTCACAAGGAGTTAATGAGAATTCGAATAAAACCATGCGAACTGCTCTTAGCGTGGGAATAAATCAGTGATGTGGTCACAATTATTATTAGTTCGCATCTGGTTGGTATAGAAGATGGCATGTCACCTTGAACGTGTTCAACCATCTCTTTAGTCCAGGAAGCCATTCCCTTTTTCGCTAATGTCGGCCGAATGGGATTGCAGCTGTGTGTATATCTACGATAAGCGAAAGTGATGCAACAGCCTGTATTGCTTTGATCGCTTCGATAGCTACATCCTCTGTAAAAAAACATTTTCCCATCTTAACGATAGCAGTGACAGTCCAAAAGATAGCATGTGTCTCACAAAGACCGCTGGACTTTGATTGCAACAATTTTGACGATCAACCAGGCTTATTACTAAACTGTAATCCGTTTTTTCTTGTTCTTTCTTTTCAGTTTTTGAGATCTTGTTGAAATTTCACGAGACTCAAGATTGGCGACAAGCTTTAGGGACTTGCGTACCGCAACGGAAAGGACTGGTGTTGAAGACATAGGCTGAATAAAGGTTCCGGATAGGTCGTTTTATGACAATTTAACTTTGGTCATTTATACGGAAACGCTTCAAAGACCGCTTCGCGCTGACGTGATTACGTGATAGTAAGGAGAACTGAAATCACGTGGCACAACAAACAGTATGGCAAGACATGGAAGGCCAACTTGTTTTTTCAACAAAGCCGAAGCAAAATAACCAGAGCGCAAAAGTTCAGAATTACTGTAGGAGTCCTGTTAGAGACTGAAGTTTGGACAGTCTTAGTGGAAGAGATCATCAGAGTCAATTGAAGAGTTGTTTGTTAGTCGAATGTCATTAAGTCTTGCTCGTGTACACTGATGTATTTCGCATTAAAACTTGGACTCCTATGAGTGACTAGCATCTAATTCTTCCCAACATCATCACATTAAGGTCACAAAAATAAAGGAATGAATGGAGAACAGTATGGTGAATATGCATACTGATGTTGGGGTGTAAAGTGTTAAGTGTGGTTTGTAGCGGTCTCTGTTTCAACCTCGTTCCCAGGGTCTCTCATCTTCCCGCCCCCTGGAGCGAGCTCGCGGGGGCGGGAAGCTGAGAGACCCTGGGAACGAGGTTGTCTCTGTTTAAAACAAAACCCATAAAATGAGATCTATCGTCTGTCATTTTCTGCTTAGTTAACTACAAATTTATCTTGAAAGTTCTGTGTTAAAATTTTAACAGTTTTTATAAGATACTTGGTATATGGATTTCTCATGTAAGAAAACGAACATTATCAAAAGCGCGTTGCAAGAGAAACAGCTGAACTACACGATATGAAATCACAAAATCGATCAAAAAAGGCACATGGGGAGTCCGCGCCGGCCCGTCTTTAATTTTATCCTTATTCCAATATCCCTTATCAGATTTCAAGTAAGTAAGAAAGATTTGATTGGTTCATCTTTGCTTAACAAGCGGGAGACTGGTTCAAGTTAAAATCGAGAACAAGTCGATACTAGGACTAACGATTGAGTCTTGTCACAACGATTGATATTTTTAGCACTAACGATCGAGTTTTATCACAGCGATTGATATTTTTAGCACTAGCGATCAAGTTTTATCACTAGGGATTGATGTTTTTAGCACTAACGATCAGTTTTATCACTAGCGATTGATATTTTTAGCACTAACGATCGAGTTTTATCACTAGCGATTGATATTTTAGCACTAACGATCGAGTTTTATCACTAGCGATCGATATTTTTTGCACTGACGATCAGTTTTATCACCAGCGATTGATATTTTAGCACAAACGATCGAGTTTTATCACTAGCGATTGTTGTTTTAAAACTAACGATTGAGTTTTATCACTAGCGATTGATATTTTAGCGCTAACAATTGAGTTTTATCGCGAGCGATTGATATTTCGGCACTAACAATTGAGTTTTACCACTAGCAATTCATAATTAAGCACTAACAATTGAGTTTTGTCACTAGCGATTGATATTTTCTCAGCACTAGCGATTGAGTTTTATCACTAGCGATCACCAATTAAAACAACTCTTGATTATTTCAAAAATTCTCTTTGTCAGCACCTTAGGAAATGTAGAGTGTAACTGGGTTGAGAATGGCCATCACATAAAAAGCTCTTGTACAAGTGAAAGTCCTAAAGATACTTTTTGGCGCACAAACGAATAGAGAAAGGGCACAAGAGGCGAAAGGAACTTTGAAGCAGTGATCAAATATGAACGTGTCATAATTCACTCAAAACAGCGAAAGGTTTAAGCAATTTACGATGATGTATTTACAACAGTTTCGGTCCACTCAACAACAGACAATATCTTTCAAGATCTTCCAGGGCAGTTAGTACGTTCCAGATTGGATAATACTTCTAGGTATTCCTTAACTAATTTCTCCTTAGGGAAAACTAGTTATGGAAAATTACAGTTTATATTTTTTGTTGTCAATAGATATGTAAAGGCAACCTTTAGATTTTCTAGGATTTTCTCTAGGATTTTAAATCAAGGTATGATTTAGTGCTATTTTAGTCTGTTACTCTCTACCGTACTAACAGTAAATTGCTTAGGGTTGAAATTCAATCACGACTGTGTAGGGGTGGGTACGTAACGGTTTGAAGCGAAGTGTTCCCTGAGGTAGTCACCGCCTTTCTCCTCGTATTCCTGTCTTGTAACGCTCACTGTTTGTAGACTGCTTAGTGACCTCGCCCACTTACGAGCTCCGTTCCAGGCGTCAAGTACAGGATTGGCTACAAATAGATTAGGTAAAGGAAGGTGTCAAAAATCTGTCGGGGGTGTGGAGCAAAGAGAAATCCCAGTCCTCCACGGGTGAAGGATCCATTTACAGGATCCATTTAAATCGTTAAGCCAAATATAAAGCCGCAAAAAATAAATATATCATGAGGAACCAATGAGAATTGTTACGCACAAGTAAATTGCCTGAAGCGCGATAAAACGCGAGTCATTAAGAAAGGACTGGTTTTAGTTTTTCATTTGATTGGTTAAGAGATGGCGCGAATTTTCGAGACCAATAACAGTGGGTACTGAAGTAAAACCAACGCAACCCTCTAAATCAGTAATTATTAGCAAATGTCTTGATGTAGTTATAAGACGAGGTAAATAGAAATAAAGGAAAAAATACAGAGCATGCGGAATTATTTTCGAAACTCTTGTAAAACCCTTGAAAGGAGAATTGAGACATTTGTTATCTCCTTCACGTCACAGAAGAATGCTTTCATTACGGTTATTACTGCAACAAGCTGGTTTGTCTACCTGCTTTAAAAACTCTAAATGTTGATTGGAATGGTCGGATAGCTAGGAGCTCTCTCTCCAGACGTTCTTGAAAGTTTGGAAACTTGGTGTTTCCTCCAGTCACGAACACGTTCTAAGGAGAAAAAATAAACGAGGCAACTACAGATGTGATGTAAGTTTCCACAACACTTGTGTTAAATTCACTCGGCCAACGACCGAGCCTTACATTCTTAGATTATAAAGGCGTCTGACAAACCAGAATGACCGCACAGTTAATAATTCTAAAAAGAGTTTTGTTCTAACTGATGAAATACCGGTCACTCGACCCACTCGATTGACTGGTGTTAATTAGTTACCATTGAACATGATTTAAAAGTTGTAGGAGAATATGTCTGAAAAAATGCAAACCGAATAGCGCAGAGCATGATAATCATGAGAAAATCGTTCTTTAATGGTACACTATCGGGGCATGACAAGACAAGTTTTATTCTTACTTCTTACGAATGTTTATATGAAGTTTGTAGGATGTAATTCTTCTGTAGGTTATTTTGCGCACTAAATTGCACCAAGAGTTCTACGTCCTGGAATAGCGCCTTCACTGTTTATGGAAAGTGTTGGGTTTAAACAAAAACACGGACCCAAATTTTAGACTTGAGTCGATCCTACCTCTCTCCCCTCCCCTACCCTTCGCTTGCCTCCTCCCTACCCCCTACCCCTAAGCTCGTAACCAGGCAGTGGGAAGATAGCATGGCGGAGCACGTTGAGAGACCTAGCTGTGCTTCTCACATCGATCCGGGCGTGACATAACCTGAGAGCTATTTACCGCGAGCACATGTCTACACAACAAAACAGTTGATCTACAGCACTATTAAACATTAGGGAACAAAGTACGTACTGGTCAATCACAAAAGCATATCCTTCCATATCCTACCTGCACTAAAGCTGTCTGTAAGTCTGTCGAGTAGTGATTAAGTATGAAGTCTATAGTTTCAGAAATGCCAGCTTGTTCAATGCCCAGCAAAGATGGTTGATATACTATCTCGGGGACTCTAAAAAGAAAAAAAAAACACCAAAAAGAAAGATATGAATATCATTCTCACATTGCTGTTTCTGGTCCTTGACCTTGGACCTAACATAACGTTGCCGCTATTTCTCAACGCCTAACGTGGCAACGTAACCATGGTGACCTAGAAGACCAATCACAGCAAACAGAAATGAGGAAATCTCAAAAAAATAAATAAATAAATAAAATAAAAAATAAGGACCAACAGACGAACACAAACAAAGAAAGATTCCGGGTGGCTACCCTGCAGTAAGGCCATGGCCTTCTAAATTACCTTATCCTCTCTACACCAAGGTGTAGCTGATAATACTCTGCCCAATCAACAGCAGTCTCTGGTTTCCCTCCAAAACGTCTACAAAGCAAGACAATTTTGTCGTTGTTAATGCGAGCGGAATGAAATAGCCCTTAGAGAATTCATAGACGTCGGGGGCTTCCAGAATTTGCACTTACGGGTGTGGTTTTGTTATACATATGCGCCGTCAAAATCGCCATTTCTACCTTAACATTAAAGGCTTGTCATATGTGAAGTATCTGCTATAAAAGAACAGTACTTACTTTGAAAAGTCGGGATCGTGTTTCTTAAGTAAATTTTCTAGCTCGTTCAGTTCCTCCTGTTCTTTTTCGCTATCGGAGTCACCCGCATCTTTATTCTGTGGAAAGGAAAAGAAAATTTACAAATTAGAGCAATTTAGAAAATTCGCGCCTAACTTTCTACCAATCACGACTGGCACACTCACGTTTTCTGCGCTTCAGGCAGTGAGCTTATTTTCAGTTTTAGTTCCCACTGGCGTCTTCGAACATTTCCCGTTGTTTTGATTGGCAGTTGTGATTACTTTGGTTTTGGTTGACCAAACGTGACTTTGAGGTCAATTTGCACCCTAACGTGGGTATCTTTGGGTATCAAAGGTGAATTTGGAGACGGAGAATTTGTTCACCTATCAAGAGCTTCTCTAGTTGGTTATCATTCCCTTTATTCTCAAGACCTTAATGTTTGATTCAGCAGTGATACTGTAAGGAGAAATTAGATGCCAATCACTCCTAGGGGTTGAAGGGTTAATATTGGCTGAGCTCAATGAAATGGAACAGACAAGTGGGGAAACACAACAACAAAAAAGACGACGGAATGGTTGAATCTTACGGATTACTAGTTACATTATTTACTCACAATTGACCTGTACACCATCCAGTCATCGTCGTTTTGGCCGAAAGTGTCTTCTTTTGGTTTCTTGTGTGAACTTCTTGTCGTACCATCGTCACGAACTATGATGAAAAACATTTTTTTTAGTTCAAAGATAAACCTTCCCAATCTGTCCCAGGTATACAGCAAACAAGTGTCGCAGTTTGTGATTTATCACCTGTCATTGAACAGACGCAGGGCTTGTCTCAAAAGAATTCAAAGTTTTGAATTTGTCGAGGACGGCCAGGCAGCACTTAACCCTTTAACTCTTAAGATCTTATTACTAATTCTTCTAACTGTCTGCCATGAAATTAATCGGATGTTAGTTTGGAGAATTTGGAATTGGATCAACCAATGATTCCCTGATTGATATTTTTCTTTATTCTCATTACTTGTCTGCTTGATATCGTACTGATAGTGTAAGGAGAAATTCTGTCTTGGTCACTAGTGGGACTTGAAGGTTTAACAATCGGAATGTTGATTCCGAGACTTTTTTCCTCCATCTAATTAACTTCCGCACTCTGATACTTAACCAAAGCTGTCAGTAGGGGCCATAACCTGCGTGTACAACATCTGTTACCACTGAGGTCAATTGATGTTACCGCTGGAGATGTCGATTGCTGTCTCGTTACACTTGACCATATATCATACTGCTGACCCTTCACACCCTAACATCAGTAAGTATATTCTCCGTACTGTTCTCTATAAATTTCCTAAGGTCCTGATGAGGAGAATGTGTCAAACAATCAAGGGCTTCTTTGGCTAGTGATCATTTCGTTTATTCTCGTCATCTTTGCCTGTGAGTAAGCCCTCAGTATTAGCGCTGCAGGACCCGCCTTTCACCTCTCGCCGAAAGACTTGGGACGAGTCGGGGAGAGGTTTACCGCGGGGGAGAAGGGGAGGGGGGTCATTATCTTTGCTCGACCCCTTGCACACCTCTCACCAGCTCCTGTTGCTGAAGATCTCATACTTCAATGCAACTTAGTCATCTTCGAAACTTAGTGAAAGCCCTGCATAAAGAAGCACAGGGCTACTTTTTTTCGTTTTTTGTTTTTGTCTAAGACAGCCCTTGACACTAGACCTTACAAATATAAGCTAATGCTGACAGAAAAATTGTTAAATTTAAGATAAAAAACAATAAACAGCTTTCACACAGTTCACTACACGTACATACCATTCGGATCGTAAGCCAATTGTGATAAAATCCTCATTCTTTCCAGGGATGCCTGACTTCTTCTGCTTGCCAGTTCCTCTCTCCTTTGTACTCGCTGTTGACGAGCGTCTAGTATTTCCTATCAAAATAACGTACAGTCAGAGACCCACGTGCGGTTTTGGGCATCATCACTTAAATTGTCCACTCATAAACAACTGAAGGCAAGGAAGCACTTACAACATTAGTAAGACCTCTAAGAGCTGGTTTTCATGCCTTGAAAAAAAGAGCCTTGTACATTCATATTCTGTTCTGTTTTGGCTGCATAACAAGTGGCAGTCTTTCATCATATTAGCAGTATAGGTCGGAAGTAAGGTTCAACGAACAGAACTACACCAAACCAGTGTCCTAGCGGATTTGGGCCCCCTGGACATGGAGCCCCGGTCGCTTTTTACAAGCGAATTTGGACCTGTAACAAGCAACGCAAATGGTTCATGTACCAATGAAAAAGACCTTCTCCCTGAAACACACCTTTCTCCTTCTGTGCAAACCCGTCAGCCATGTTTTAAACGTTTCCTCTCGTTGCACGTCCTCTTGACTCTTTTGTTGCATTTCTTGTTTCTTCTCTTCCTTTAATCTCTTCCCACTTCTCTCCTCAGCCATTGCTGCTCCTTTGGGAGTTCGCAGTCTCTTTTTGTTCTCGGCAGCAGGCGCTTCAGATACAACGTCGATAATTTCGTCTTTCTCCTTGACCTACCATTGTCAGGAAATACGAACATTTTATACTCTCAAAAATAATTAATTCCATTGTTCCTGGACATTACAGTTATCCTCAACTAAGACCCTTCGATCGGATACAAAGTTGTGTTATAGGGGCATGACATGGCATCTCATTATTCCTTAGTATTCCTCCAAAAGCTCACCTCGGAATCTAATTCCAAAGCTGTCTGCATGGCGACAACCTTGTCCTTTCGCTTTTTTATAGAAGTCGTCAGATTTTTGATAGCAGCTTGTAATGCCTAACAAAGAATTATTGAGTTTCAACAACAGAGTTTCCCAAATTAGCAATAAAATCAAGCAAACAAGCGTATCAAATAGTCACAATAACTACTTGAGAAAACTTCAAGAAAAAGATCTAATGAAAAGATCAAAATAGAAAACCAGCTCCTCCCTAAGATCAGTCTGGGCTGATGATGAACAGACAGACAGACAGACAATTCCAGACAGACAAAACAAAAACCTGAATGGGCTGATGAAGCCAACTACTAAGCAGGAAGTAAAGTGGCTAATGAGAAATGAAAAAAAAAAAACAAAACAGATAGACATTGAAGGACTTGAAGCAAAAGGCAGATACACGTAGTTCACCTCAGAACTCTGAAAGCCTGCTGCTGTTAATGATCTCTGTGAATGAAAAACAAACAAATTTGTTTTAGAATCCTTGACTTTGACAATGAGGATGCTAAAAACAATATCTCTATACTGAAATCAAAGTAGTACTAAAACAATAAAATTTATGTCATAATCTTCACTTTGACCATAAAAATGCTAAATGCTATGTCACTCAAGTGCATATGTATTAAAGTAGCAGTGCATGAGGTAAAGTAACTCATTTGGTACACACAGTAGAATAGTAGAATTATTTGCCAAGGGTAGTGCATTCATATTCCAAAGAATTGAAATACAATTCTACTACCTTCATCAAAACACATGCTGAACAGTTTTCCACTGGCTTTTATGTAATTAAGCACTTCACTAAAATTCAACTTTATGAAATGTATAGACCATGTTTTGTCAGGCTAAAGGCCTGTCTTACTTGGTACTCCTCACTGTCTTGAGATTCCAGTTCCTGAATATTCATCAGATCTTGCAGCCTTTCTTGTTCTTCTGCAAGCTGATATAAACAGGGATAATTTTCAATTTAAGAAATTTTTTTAATCAACAAGTAATACTTAAACACGATATCAACAAATATTTACTTTTTCTTCTCTTCTTCTTGCATTGATTTCTTGTAACCTCCTTCCTTGCTTTTGTCTTCTGAGCTTTTCCTTTTCTTCATTCTTGGGTCCACTTGCTTGCGGAGTTGGAACCTGTTACCATAAAAAAGTGAAGCCTAAAAATTAACAGCTTTAAGAACCACCTTTTACTCAAACTACCTGGCAACATCTTGGATTTCTTGTTACATACAGTTGTTTACAGTTTCTCATGTAAGTTGTAATAATGTAGAGGGCCATATTTCAAAGTATAGCCTCCTACATGTAAATTCAAAATCTTGTTTGAATTGAAATTTTTCCCTCTATTTAAACCCAGAGATAAGAAATATCTTACCTCATTTTCTAAGTCCATATAGTAATTTTGGGGACCTCATCTTTTCTGCTCAGATTTCTAACGTAAGCGAATCTGAGCAGAAAAACTTGGTCTGTAAATTACATCACTGACCTCAAACTCTGCTACAAAGAGGTTTCCATGCAACTACAAAACGACCTTTTGTATTTTACTGAAATTTTTTTTCAAAATCATCAGTGATTGAACTGCAGTGTATTTCTTCTGAGTAGAACCAACCTGAGCATAGGGCAACTGAATTTTATGCACATTATCATCATAATAATCAGATGAAGACCATTCTTCCAGTTCCTTGGAATAATCTGTTGCTATGAAACCATGACTATGAACTAGTTCCTAAAATTGAACAAACAAAAAAGTTGTTATCTGTCCTTTGAAAACAATTGTTACTAGCCAGGAGCTGTCTTCAAAACAAAGCAGAACTGTATGAACAGCTTAACCGGTCTAGTTTAAATTTGACTCTCCAATTCACATCATAGATGTAGGTACCTTAAAGTCTACTTTACCTTTTTACTCCCAAGATCTCAGTAGTAATTCTCCTTACTGTCTACCATACAATTTTCATGATGTCAGTTTGGAGAATTTGATATTGGATCAACTAATAATCCACTTCAATTGATATTTTTTCCTTATTCTCATCACTTGTCTGTTTGATATTGTAACAATATTGCAAGGAGAAATTCTGTCTTGGTCACTCATGGGAGTTGAAGGTTTAAAAAAATCCAAATGTATTCACCTGTGCTCTTGAGAGTGTAATCTGAGTAGCATGATGGGGATGTTTGAGCTGTAGGAGTCGCTGCATGTACCATGTGGCAAGTGCTCCACCCAGGTTAATCCTGTATGGTCAGTGCTCAACAAGGTTTAATCAAACACCATGTATGTACATTCATTAAGGGGAGGGGGAGGGAGTAATGCTCTGATATAAAAGTGGGTACATCATTATATCTCTCTGGGTTGCAAAGAAAGAAAAATTAATTTTAAAAACAACATTATAAAGGAAATCATGCAGCAAACTTAAGAGCATGTGACATCTTCATTTACTTTTACAGTAACTGTACAGTTTCTGGTACAATTGCATTTACTTTGGAGTACAATAACTCTAGCCATACCCAGAGTTGTTAACCTTTAGGAGGTATACTTTAAAATTTGCAATGAAAATCTTTGTCATGACTTTATAGCATATGGGATTCCCCATGAACCACAGAATCACTTCAACTTATTAACTATTGTTCATTATAGAAATAAATACAGCTAATGCAATCGCACAATTTAGTTAGTCTCATTATTCATTAAGGTACAAGCAATCCCATTTTGTGCTTGAGGGGAAAACATACTAACCTCTTACAGTTACTGGCATCCAGTCTCCCATTCACAACAGGCAAAACATGACTGACTTGACATCCAGATGACACCACAAGTGCAGTGGTTTTGTCTGCAAGTAATGAATTTAACATTCAATAGATTCACCTCTTGAAAGAGGTTAATTAATATAATTGGTTCACAGAAACATTCATTGATCACAAAATGATGAAGGTTACGTCCCTGACATATTCTCTAACAGTAAACTACATTCACCTGAGTTTGGAGAGTTGTAATAAAGGCTGAACAGGCTGTCAATTCCATAAGCTACACTTGGGACATTGTAACACTCAAACAACAACTCAGACATGGCTGAAAGACAAAGATCAAGGACAAATAATTAAATGAATAAAAGATGTAACATATGGAACTAAAATGGATAGCAAACATATTTGCACATAGCCTGAATGTGAGATATTGGATGAAAAGCCTTTTCAAAGTCCTTGTGAGGTTCATCACCAAAACAATTCTCCACACCTAAGGATCAATAGTGTTGAATCACAAGCCCAAATGACTACTTTGAATTATGTTTGTTGTATATGACATCAATAATCTTACAATACTTACACTGTCGACAGTAGTTTGGGTTACAAACTGGTTCTGTCATAACAATAGGATGATTGACACTTCCTGGTGTGTTGACTCCAAGGTGACTGAAGATGTGATCAAACACATACTCCTGTTTTAAAACATCATGCACAGTTTTACCATTACTATGCCAGTAACAATGCACCATGCAAACACTCAAATAAGGTATACATTGCAAGACTTTTCAGAGGGTGTAATCGTGGTGCATCTATAAATGACTCTTATGAGTGAACTGTAAGAATTCAAAATCTCAGGCTACGCTTGAGAATTTTCCCTCAATGTTGTACCAGCTGAGCTATAGGGACCTTGTTGTTTAGCTACACACACATAAACAACCATGTATTACAAGAGACAAGCCACCTGTGTACTGCTGAGATCAACGATACTGAATACAACCCATCTGAAGAAAGAGGCTTGATTCCTGATGATAGACCCTGATTTCCTCTGTGACACACAAATGTACTGTGAAAGATGTTTTAAGTTAACATCTCTCTTTTTCATTGACACTCAAAGTTTACTAATTTGGTTTCCATATAAAACCCTTCACTCCAATTAAACCCATTAACTCCCAGATCAAATTTGTAATTCTCCTTCCAATCAACCATACAATTCTTATAATGTTAGTTCAGAGAATTTAGTATGGATCAACTAATTATCCCCAAATTGATATTTTTCTTTATTCTCATCACTTATCTAGTTGATATTGTATTGATCTTGTAAGGAGAAATTCTGTCTTGGTCACTCATGGGAGTTAAAGGGTTAAACCCATCTACCTGGCACTCATAGTGTGTTACAACATCTCGATCAAACTGAGTCCTTAAGGCCCATCTGACCACCTCTAGGTTTCCAATATCATTCCCCACAGAGTAGCCAGCACCTGATGCATCCCCATCCTGAAAAATTACAGTCAATTTCACCAAATTTCAAAAAAGGGAAACCTTGAAAAGCATTAGAGTAAAAGCAGGGTGGACATGCATTAGAAAACAGCCATACTTACTTTCCTTCCTCTGGCTTTTGCAACCAGATTTCGGAAGTTCAATCTTGGCTTGTTGTCAGTAGCCCACCCTGCTCGGCAGCAGTGTCCACCTGAAATTATAAATTGTATATTCATTTGGAAAAGATGTACAGTGGGAGTCCCAACAAGGGTACTCTTGTGAAAAATCTACTTAAAACCCTAACACAAAGTCTCTTTGTTCATTCTTGAATAAAAATACTCCTGTAGGCAAGATCCATTCACTGGTTGTGATAAACATGTAGTATTTCCTATGTTCAAGAGTTGACATTAAATCTTTAACTCCCAGAAGTGATTAACATAAAACTTCTCCTTACAATATCCATACATTATTCAGCAAACAGGTAATGAGAATATTCAAACTTATCAGGTAGAAGCTGCTATCTTGATCTAGCACCAAGTTCTCAAAATTAATTCAAAAGGAAATGTCTAGCAGCTAGAGGGGAGAATTAACAATCAGATCTTGGGAGTTAAAGGGTTAACTAGGAAAACTTATAGCCCCATATCTTATTGAATTTGGTTGGAGGGTGTGCTAACAAAATTTATGTGACTGATAGGATGAAGAGTGTTGCTAGTTTATATGATATAACCCTTCTTCCCTCGAAGGTTTAAAAAAAATGCACTTGGTTCATAGCATAAATTGAATTTACAGTGTCATAATAATACCTGTGTACTTTGCCTCAGCATAATCATTAGCTTTATCGTGGGCTCACAAGTAAGAACTCACCATTGTCAATAATTAGTGGAATTGAATTGTCTCGAATATTTGCTGGATAGTCATAGAACGAATCTGGAGACGTCTCACAGTCTTGAAACCTGAATATCCGTGCATCCATATCTACATAAAGAAAAAATTCTTAAACGTTTTCTTTGCACCTGTAGTTCTAAGACATCATAATATTTTGAGTTGTGTAAAACCTTGACTCCATATTTGTGATAAAATGAGAAAATTAAGATGTTATTACTTACCACTTTCTTCCGCCATTTTTTAGACGGCTTTGTACAACCGTTCAGCGGAATGCATCCCAAGCAAGCTATTTGGTATATGACGCACGAACTGTTTCAGCCAGGCGAAAACAAGTCACCAAGGTTTACTTTGCCGCATTTTGAATAATTCCACGCCAGAGCCAGTGTCAGATGACTCTGGAAAAATCACCAAGCGTTTAATTCAAAGTCCAGTGAAAACCCAGACAAGTAACATATCTGCACAAGCTTTGTTTACCATGTAAAAATTCAGTTCAGTTTTCCTTCTTGAATACTGCTGTAATGCGGCATAAATCGCAAGGTCTCCCCCAAACGCTCTGCTTTTGGGTTAAACAGGCATTTGCACCTGGTTGTTGAATTATTTAATAACAAAATTAAAGGAAAAAGGTGTCTGCGTGCATAGCGGAGAAACTTTCGAGGTGTATCTTGATTAGACGTCTTTCCGCTCATACACTCGATGTGAAATGTTAAGGGAGAGTTTAATAATATCAAATGGCAGTGGATCAAAGGTGAACCAAAGTAAAGGAATTAATGGACCAAAGTTTTTATTGTCGCAAAGCGTCTCAACATTACGAAATCACAACGGTTAGAGCTCCTAAAAGAAAATGCGACACCCCTGCAAAATGATTGCAATTCTACCAACACTTTCTAATCAGACCAAAAACCGCCATAGCTATTAATTAATAAGCAAATTAATGACTGCCTTCTTTTAGTTTTCGATATGTTAGTGATGGAGAGAAAATTGGAAACCTGACATACATTGAATATCACTGACTGTGAACGTACTGCCTACCTGAGTGAACTCAGTTCAATGAAGAAAAATAAATGCTTTAACACTTCAACACGGCAAATATGAAACAATTCCAACAAGCTTAGGTCCCTCTAGCGCTTGTTAGCAATCGCCAACATTAAGCTTAAAACTTATTTTTGAATTGCATACTCGGCGACCTCAGAGGTCAGAGCCCTCTTACATCTATGGAATCACAGATAAATCAGTTCAAAGATTAAGTTTGGATTTTTACCTGAAACATGTAAAATTTAGAGGCGAACTTAAGTCATGGATATATGTTTTCCACATCAAAATGTGCAGTAACGTGATTATTCTTTACTCGATATAATTTAAACAAGAATCTAGGGTTGACAACAAAATACTTTCAATTACAAGCCACAGATTCTGTGACTATGTGTATGGAAGCTTACAATTAAAACTGTCCAAGTGTTGATATCTAAATGTAGAACCTTATTCTTTACTCAATACTACGTTCTTTTGATAGAGACGACGGAGAAATCAAGATTCTGCCCTACCGAGTTTTCAAGAAATTTTCTTTTCGGCTCGTCATATTTCTACGCTCTTGATTCAAAAACTGCAGAAAAACCCACTGACGGGGAAATCTAAAGCAGCTCAGGAATTCAGCACTCAATGTTGGTGTATTGCATAGCATTCCCGGTGACTGCTAATGAACTGGTATTAAAGCTCCAAATGCAGTAATAATTGAGCTGGGTGTGCTCGTGTTCCCGTGTAACTACACCCTCTGTCTTCATGGAAACCACTTAGAATTGGTCATGTTGAACCTCACTTAGGATTTTAAACTGGATCATCAGGTGTCCTTCTGTTGGTGTTTCTTCTGCTCCTGTAGCAGTTGCTGCAGAGGAGACATGCCCTCCGAGGGAGGAGTGAAGTCGGAACCCCAAATGGACTACAATGCAAAAGGTTAGCATGTCACTATTTGTCAGAACTACATGTCAGCACACTTCTTTTGATGGCTGGATAATCCACAACAACTGAAGTGCCGAGAATTTTTCTTCTCCTTCGTAAGCTTTACTCGCCGCTCAAGTTTAGGTATAAGGTTAAGGGCATTAAGCTAGAGGGTTTTTGTAGACAAACATCGCTCAGTGCACATAATTTCTCGTGTCTCAGCCATAGATAGGTACACTTGTTGGCTCTTAACATAGCCCCGCAATGGAGGTGAGCCACAGACAAACAGCCACATGGAAACAACAAGATACAAGACCACTTCGTGATTAACCAATGGGCCTCAATATAATCGAGTATGATGGTAGCATAACCATATCATTATGTGTGGTTGGGGAGAGAGAAACATTTAATTTTGTTCACCTCAACAACAACCATTATGAGTTCCAATCAAACTTTTCGAATCCACACTCCGATTGATCTCACACGTACAAATTACACCCTTTACGTCGGGACAAAAAAAGACAACAAAACAAACAACTTTACATGCAATCCATGTGCTCCAGGACTTGTTCCACCACTGCCACTGGCACTCGATGAATTTGGCGCCCAGACCCCAGAACTCCATCCACCACCGTAACCAAATCCACCAAAAGGAGACTGGGAAGGAGAGTTAAAATTTCCATGTATCGCGGCGGGGGGGAAACTGGTTCCAAAACTGGTTGGTCTGCGGTTTTCAGGAACCGGGGGAGAAGGTAGAGTGGGTGGAAATACGGAACTGCTTCCGGTGGCCGAAGGCAAGTGGTCAGTCGGGGATACACGGTGATGTGTAGGCTTGGAAACAGGTCTTGGGGAAGGGTGATCTGCAGGTGACAAAAAGTCCATTAATAATTGAATAGATTTTCTTAATCCTTTTCGTAATTTGCTCTCAGGTTATGGAAAGTGGGGAAACCAACGAAATATGAGGATTTCCAAACTGAGGGAAACTACCAACCCATTCTATTTATTCAACCATTTCTCTTCAAAAATCTGATTAGTAATCCTTGCTTTTGGCTATGGCACATATTTTCTTGTAAGGAGGAGTTGGTGTTTCATCAATATAACACCATCGTGTTGTTAAGTTAGTCGATTCACACCATCTGTTACCTTAAAAATCTTTCAATTTTACAGGAAGAAAAGGTTATACCTGGTTGAGACAGAGCCGCAGAAGTCAGGGGTACGTTCCATCCCGACTGGAACAGTGAGTATTGCGCTACTGTGGATGGGGAGGGTGGGACAATTCCCGCTGAAGTCTGAACAACATCCAACGGTCCCTTGAACAAGGAGCTGTGGAATGAAACAGGAGGAAAATAAAATTCGAGTCAATAATTCATTTATAACTGCAGTAGTAAATATCACCTGACGCTAAACCGTTTTGACAGAAAACAACGGTCGGTTGATTAATGCACAACAATACTGTTTCTCTAAACCTCTCTGTTCAACACAATTTAGAACTATATGGCAAGAAATTTCCAGGTTTACTTGACTCCCGCACTAAGGTCATTGAGAGTCCTCTTCGTTGGTATGACATGGGCGATCAATCTGAATACTACATCGTGAAATAGATACCCCTTAACTCTGACCCCCACTTATCACGACATACATTAACATAAAGCGACGATCAAGTTTAAGAACTGAATTCCTAGTCAAGCCTCATTCCAATGTAATCACTCCCCAAAATATCTAGTCCCTCGCAAATAGTATCACGTGTACCTCTCGTGTTGCGTGAATGTTCGGGTATAAAGCAAATAAACCTGTCGGGGTGTTTGTATTAGCATAATTCGCGAGACAGGACAATTTCTTTAAGGATTATCCTTAGCATTAGACCAAAATGACTTTGCATGGAAGGTGGAGGAGGAAGGAAGGGGGGGGGGGTGGAAGAGAGAGGGGGGGTGTCAGTCAGTCTCTTACTGTCAGTTTGGTCTTCTCTCTTCGACAAATATGGAAATATCGTAAATAATAAAGAGATTAGATATTACGTTTCGAATGCTTTAAGACATTCCTACCTCGTTTCAGCAAATGGTGTTCCTGCTGGGGTCGTCTGAAAATAAAGTTATTGAAACTACCGATCAGAAGTTACCGCTACAATGGGGTTGTCACAGCTAAAAGAAATCTAATGTTTAAAGTGATTTATTTTTCAACATTGAAAAACTCGTTTCTATGAGAAAATCAGTCAAAAAGAAAGTGAAATTTTTATTATCCAAAATAAAGTTGTATATGACTGCACAAGATCAAATAATGGTCTCAAGGCGGCAAAATACTTCTCTACGCTTGATCAAGTCCCATACTTTGTTCAGGTTGGGCAAAGAAGCCAAAAGCTTTTGCCCAGCAGACTCCAAATCAATGTCTTGGGGTGACTTTGGAAACTTTTCTTCCTGCAATGAAACACACAAACTCTGCATTGAACCGTTCAGCACAATTAAAACCATAATTGTACTGAAGGTGAATGAACTGAATACCTCTTCGATGGGCGATGAAGTGTTTATCTTCAGTGAGAAGTGAGACAAGCCAGTTGTGAGATCCTCTACTTTGGACAAGATACTACAAGTGACAAAAAAACAAAAAAAGAAAGATATTCAGCTGCTGAAAAACTGAGAGTGTACTTTAACACTGTTAAAGACATATCTGCAGCGACTGTCGAAAATAATATTGCATTGGTTTCTATTACTCCTCCTAATGATTGATATATAAATTCTCCCTTTCATCCTAACCAGTCAACCAATCATGACCTGGTTAGTCGCGTCTTCTTGAGCTTCTAATTTTTTTCTTTGAGTTCCATATGTCCATTTTGATTACTATGGCTTTGCAGTTACAACACGTAATCGAAACACGCTCAATGACATTATTCACCTGGCGTTATTCACCAGTCGATTTCCAAACCTGACCAGCCTACCAACTCTATGTACAGACTCATCTTCAGGTCTTGTCCTCTTCATACTGTAAGTTAGTTTCCTACAGGCGAAAGAAAGAACAAAACGAACCGTATCAGTCTGTCTGTCGTTAGAATTTACAAAGACAAGCTCTACGAGGAACTCTCGAGATCTTCTGAAACGTAAGTCGGACGTAAGCTTTGAGAACTAATTAACAATTGGTTCATATGTCAGCGTGCTTTCATTGAGATATGAAGCACGCGGGAAGTTTGGAGAGCACGAAAGATGCGTAAGAGTTGCTCGAGGCGTAGGAAAATTTTTTTCTTGAGGGATTTGTTTGCTGACGTCATGAGCGTGCACAATAGGAATATGAAGCACGCTCGTGCAATTGAATTTGATTAGACAAATTTACTAGCTATGTTATAAAACACTTTATACACCACCGTTAAACACCACCTCAAAAGTTATGAAGTAACTCAGTGGAGACGTTCTTCCTAACCCTTCACACCCTAACATCAGCATGCATATTCTCCACACTGTTCTCTAAAAATTTGCTCAGGTACTGACAAGGAGAATTCATTCAACAATTAAGAGCTTCTTCAGTTGGTGATCATTTCCTTTTTTTCTCATGACCTTCATGTGTGAGAGTGATTCTGGGATGACATTGTAAGAAAAAATAAGTGCTATTCACTCTTGGGGGGTTATAGAGGTTAACGAAAGGAAACAGCTTCACAGTAATAGATTCATAAAGCAAAGCAGTAGGAGTAGGTCTTGACAGCAGTAAAAAAAAAAAATAAAAAAAAAGGAAAAAAAAAAGGACAAAAAGAGTGTAGTGAATCAGGTTTTCGTATTGAACAATGAATTCTCAACTTCCTGGCCTGCTGAGAAGGAGACTGGCCTAGTTGGCTTGTATACAGCCATTCTGAACTCACATTTGATCAGTAACACATGTCTGACTAGGAAATGTCCCACACGTACCTCTGACTGACCCTAAGAGGCAGGAAGCTCTGCAGTTCCCAGTCTTCGTGAAGAGGAAGATCTGTCAACAAAACATCAAGTACTGTGCATAAAAGGAAACTTCGCATCATCAGACTGCTAATTTCAGAAGGGATTTGTTATTGATAACCTAAAATGTTACCTTACGTCTCATAAACTTTCACACGAATATAATTTCAGTCAGATGAGTTCCCTTACATGCGCAACCGGAAACTATGCTCTTTATAAATTCTAAAGACATTCACACTATCGAGGATCGAAAGAAATCTGGAGCAGCGTAACTTTTGCTCCACTACATTCTGTAATTGGTCTAGTAAAACCTTCTCAACCAATCAGATGGAAAGCTCAGGCCAATCGTGACAGGACTGTTCCTGTTTATCGCACTTGAGGCCGTTTCTGAGGTGCGTTAACTTTGAATTCTCATGGGCTTCTTCTCGCGTTTCCCTTTGTTCTGATTACTTTGGAAACTTCATCAAAAAGCGCTCTGACGTGCAGCGATCATTTACAGCAAGGATTGGGTTTCCATCATAAAACAAGAAATGTACTGGTTAAACGGATGAAAACTCACCAATTTTCTCTGGAAGATGAGGGTGTGTCACTTGTAATAAGTTTAACAACGCTGCAAAGTCCTCCCACACCCTACGTAATCAAACATGCAAAAATAACTGTGGTAAATCATATAAACATTCTAGTTCAAAAGAAGTGTTTTTTTTTTTAAAATAAAAGAGCACAAATCGAGCTGAACATAAGTGATGTCACTTAAAGTGCTCAGATACAACTAGCGAAGAGACGAAAATTGTCCAAAATTAGATGAAAAAATAATAAAGATTCAGTGTTAAAATCATAGATATACTGTTTAATGGTGGATCAGTTAAGCAATAGGATAGTCTTGACGCCACTACCAAAAACGACTGTCACAAAATGTACACAGTAAACAAATCTTATGTTCCTGCCACAAAAAAACTTCCTTACTTAGTCTTCTTCAGCAGCTGTCCATTCCAGGTGTTAGGAGATGAGCCCACCATCCACTGACATAACAGGTTCAAAGCTGGTAGAACATCACACCCTGCCGCAGACTGTTCCTTGGATGGGTCATTGTCACAGACATGAAGAACAAGGCTATCAAATAGCTCCACTGAAAGAAAGAACATTCAAAATTGGTCAGCCACACCCTTCATTTAGCTGCACACCTCAGTCATGTACAAAAACTACACTGGGCAGACAGTCACAGTGGCATGTTACACTGCTGCACAATCCACACTTAGTCATAAACTGTCATTCCATCTTGTGCACTGTAACTAACCAACTTGTTACACAACCATTAGGTTGGATATTTTCTTCTGTTTACAACATCATGGCACCAAAAAATTCACAAAGTATACATGTAAAACAGAAAAATTTGGTGTGGAAGTTTTATCTTTTATACCAGGATAACTTGATTACATTGAGCATCTACTGGTAAATACCTGTAAACTCCAGAGTCATTTGCCAACACTCCTATAGAGAAAATGAAGAAGCAAATATGAATCAACTCATACAATCCATTTTCAGTCCATCACTGCCATCTTTCACAAAGTTACCATTTCACATTTATGTATCAACAGTGCATGTACATAATTACAGAAATTGAAAAAATTAATTCATAGCAGTGCTCACATGAATAGCAGTGTGATCTGTTTTTGTTTTGCCTGTCCAATAATGAAAATAAGATATATGCCTGTATTCTTTTTGTATTCTGTAATTATCATTTACTATCTTCTTTTGGAAAATGATTGTAATTTTTTCTTTAACAAACCAGCCAAAATAGACTATTTTGAGTATAAGGCATGTCAAGTAAAATCATTCTATAAACCTCTTCATCCTTGCCAATACAATCAAACTCCTCCAGATCATCTCCCCCTCCTGTCCTGATGTGCCACAAAAGAAATAAAGTGATTGCTACCAATTTGGTTAGGAACTCAGAGGTAAATTTGTTCTCCTTCAAGATCCCCTGGAAATAAGAATAAATTAACAGGTAAATCTGAAGGATACTAAGAGACTGTTTAAGACTTAAGGAAGAAAATAAATAAATAATTTATAGTTTCTAAAGGAATTTGAGTTAATTTTCTCACTTTAAGTGCAGCAACAACACGATCTTTCAGAATTCTTGCTTGATCAAAATCTGTGGTGAACAAAATCATGAAAAAAATGCGATGGGCATATTTTTATCATTGCTTTAACTTTATAACTACCCATGAATACAACTTGACACTAACATTACCTAAATGTCAAACATTCTTGCCCTGCATTCCATAGGGCACGACATGGGAACAACATTACTTTTCAACAAAAACAAGAAACAGAATGCGCTACCTTGAGCAAGATACATGAGGCCATGAAATTGTAGGAAAATATGGCTAAACTCTGCCTTGGATATGTCTGCAATGCCATCTCTGAAAAAAAATACAAAATACAAATTTACTGTAGATAATAACCTGAGCTGTGAACATGTTAAGTTTAAATTCAACATTTTAAAGCTCACATTTGATGTCAAATGCAATTCAATGAACTGAATTTTAATTAATTTGATTTACTTTTATTTATCATAGACCAAATTTGAATTAAACAAAGATATCAATTACTAATAATATTATATACCTAGTAAATAAAATCAATACATTTTAACTCTATCATGAGACATTACCACTTCCCTTACCTTGTATTGTGCCTGGCAACCACTTTGCTCAATGTTTTGTGAAGATTTGTTGATGCAGCTGGGAATGGATTCTTAACAGCAATGCTGAAAAATATTAAACATAGCTAGTACAGGATAAATTAAAAAATGACAGGAGGCAATGTGGCTATTCTGCTGGTCAGTCATTCATGTCCCTTACTCTCTGTTCAGCCTCCTGCCTTGAGCGATTTTGGAACTTAAACTACTTTATGTTCATTTAAAATATGAGTTGTTACCTAGTGTTCATTGATTCTATGGTTCTATCAGAGGAGTATAACTAATGTGTACTGTATGATCATCATTGTAATGAGACAAAAAATCAATTATATGACAGACTCCAAAGGTTCACCATCACTGATGTACATTAAATATTGATTCCACAGAAAACTTATTTTTATATCAATAAAGGGGGTAAGTTTCAAAAGAAACTGTGGTGCTGTGTCGGTGGGAGAGTATAAACAAACTGGCCACTGTAAAGCGTTTAAAAACTGATGTTTCAGGTGTTAGCCCTTCATCAGAGCAAAAAACAAAGGGTTAACATTCGAGACGTCAGTTTTGAAACTCTCTACTGTGGCCAATTTATATTATGAACTCAGTTGATAATACCAAATTATCCTGTTATCATTATATCAATTTACCTCCTACAGTAGTAATACACAGTACCCAGCTCATCTCCTTTACCACTTGCTAGAATGGCCAGCTGGTTGTATGGTTGACCTGATGAATAAATAACAAGTCAGGTGCAGTTTCATTAAACAATGTGAAACACAGTTGTTGGTAGTGTGTGGTGTCTGTTGCAAGTAATGGGAAGTTTTCACTGTTGGTTAAGTACATACTGTAGCTTCCATCTACTTATTTATTATCCAAGACTTTTCAAAGTAGTCTTTATTCAATTTGAAGCAATTCATAAGAGAAAATAGGTTTTCATTACCATTTGATGGCACTAATACAAGAGCATGATGATAAAACACTTCAGCCTGCTCAGGGTCATCACAATAACGTGCTGCACAAGAGAGAGAGAAATAAAATGTTAAATTAAAGGAAAAAAACAGCATCTCAAAATAAACTCAAGAGAGCTGGGGAGGGCCATTCAAATATCAAGTAAGCACAAGGTGTCTCAGTATCACAGTTTTTGATTACTCTCTGCCCAGTATTGATTTTTTTGGAAAGTTGTTGCTCTGCTACAAAAATATTATTTAAATCTTTTGAATAGGTACAACCAATGTTAAGTGCTGCAAAAAACTTGAAAATCCATCACATTCTTAATTTAAAATCTTCATTAACACTGCCTACTATTAGTAGAGCCCAGTTTCCATAGTCTTGCATCAGTTGTAGTAATGAGTTAAAATTTAGAAACAAATATTGCACATTACAGGAAATTAACCCCAAAAATACCATGACAATTAAACCTTGCTTCCTATGAAACATTTGACTTGTATCTCACCTGCTAAACATTAGGAAAATATTTGCAATTATGAAAACAACATCTGGTTAGTGGCCTGAGTACATTTCATTTCGGCAGGTGATCAAGTTCTAGGCAAAATTGTTTATAATTAGTCACAAAGGAGAATTTTGGGCAGGATACTTACCAATATCTCCTAAGTGGACCAGACAGTCTTGGCAGATATAATAACAAGACTGAGTGTGAGGTTTCTTCACTGGACTACTGTTGCCATTGATTTCTGGAATGAAAGTATTAAAGAAATATTATGACATTGGATATGGAGGCTGGGTCCACATTTGGACCCTGGCTTGGATCATGGAATCTCGAGCAGGATACTAATTCTTCACACTCTGTGATTAGCATTTATTTTCTCCACACTAATCTCTCTACATCTCCTATGATAATGACAACAAGAATTTGTCTAACAATCAAGTTCCTTCATCATTATGACCTTTATGTTTTATTCAAGGGTAATATTGTGAGGAGAAAAGAGATACAAGTCAAGCCTTTAGGTGCCTCTGCACTCAAGAGGATAAAGTAATAAACTGGCAAAACATCATAGACATGTAACTGGCTGCCTCATGAAATACCTGGAGTGGTCTGGAATGAACTGACAACCTGTCCATGAAGGAGCCATTTCATGCTAAGGGATTCAGAATAAGCTGCAGTAGCAGTTGTTCAATTCAGTCTCAGAAGCAGACTTTTTATACCTACCTTCAAGAATACCCAGCTGTGATGACCTGACATGACCAGGAATGTCTAGCCTGTATGTCAGGCACAACTCCTGCAACAGCTGTTGAGAAAAACACAGAACATTTCATCAGGTAGAACTGTGACATCCAAAAAAAATCCTAAAAATTTCCCTTTTATACAAAGTCGATAAATTCAAATTCGAAAGAGAGAAAAATAGAACAAACACAAAGAAAATTTTTTTGCTGCATCAGAAGTTATTTGCCAAGAGACTCAAATGGCTTATTTCCCCACCTGAATATAAAAGCCACTGGCAGCTTCAAGAAATAAGGTCAAAACAGCCTGGACCTCCAATTTTTTGGAGCCCTAGAATTCAACATGAAATTATGAATTAAAATCAAATGGATCAAGCAATTTTATCTGCTATGATCTTATTGTGAGTTCTCCCCTCTTATTGCTATAAAATAACGTGAGAGAGTTTGATGTTGTGTCAAGGGAACATCATTTAACTGATAAGCATTCTACGCCCATTAATAGCTGTGAACACTGTGAGCACTAGCTGTGAGCACTGTGGCGGGTTGTCAAAATTAGCCGCCAATCTGGAGCATTTCACCATCTACTCTGAAAAATGCACTGGCCATTCCAATGTTTTGTGGCTCAATTTTCAGCATTATTTAAGCATGTAATTGTGCTGCCTACTTTATATTTCAGTCCAGTTACTCAAAATCTCTTCGACAACCCTGACTGAGGGGATGTCTTAAGTGTTAGGAAAATTCATATTGTAGATTAAAGGACATGAAAGCCATCAAATTTTTTTTTAAATCTTGATGTAGCAGTGTTCTAGAAATATTTGCAACATTTTTAGTGTTCTGAGTTTGAAATTCTCCTGTTACAGTCGACTCTTGCCCTGTGAACACCTTGCTATTATGGACACCCACCACTGAGGACAAGAGCCAGCCCTTCAATGAAATGTAAATGTATAAAGAAATGACTTAAATAACTCCTGTTATTGGGGGCTCTCACTATTTTGGAAATGGGGGTACTTTCATGCCCCCCAACACAACATTTCACTTGTTGTCTTCTCTCATTAAGGAGGACACTTCATCCAAAATCCTGACTCACATAATATAACACAACATTATGATAAAGGAAAATAAAGAAACCATTCTTCAATTGGGTGCAAAGAAAATAATTTCCTGCTTGGAGCCGGATTTTTTCCAGTTTGTGAGGGCCACATTATATACTTTATGTTATATACTTTATGTTCTAAACACATGATTTCATGTGTTTAGAGACAAAATTTTTTTTCTCTTGTACCCTGCTATTACAGACTCTCACTATTACAGACACTAAATCTTCCCCCAAGGCTGTCTGCAATAACAAGAGCCAACTGTAAAGGACTAACTGATAAGAAATACCATCAATATGTTAAGCAATCACTTCCTAGAGTTAGAAAGTTAAATACTATAGTTACCAGTACCTTCCTTTCCTTCGTTTGATGTCTTAAAAAGTCAATCTGGCTTTTAAAAGCACTGTTCCACCTAAAATTTCAAGGAAAATATAAGTTATTTTAGTTTTAATCATTAGTGCACAAAATCAACATAGCTTGACACAATCAGTAACAACTCCAGAGAGACACAAAACTGTCAGACAGTCTTAGTTGTTGATTGGCTCTCATAGATAAGCAATTAGTTATAAAAATGATTCATTTTTTAATTCTTTTGAATTTGCTATTAATGCTGGCATTTTGACAACATGAAAGTAATATCAGGTATACTAATTTAACAAATAACTTACAAATCTTGTTCCACCTTCTTGTCAAGGGCAGACTCTAAGTCTGTTAGCAGGATACTTTTGTACAAATCTTGTAGTCTGGCAAAAAAAAAAAAAAGACCATCTAATGAAATGTTCATGGTAATTAGGAATTTTCTTTCACTCTTTTTAAAAATACTTTTATGATTGGCAAAATTTCTGCATTTATAAGATAAAAATGAATTCCAAATGTCTGGTCTCCCTAAGTTGTACCCAATGTGTGATATGAAGAACTTTTGGGACCACTGGAATTTTTCAGGGCCACAGAGATTTAAAAAAAAAATTCAAAAAACAAGAAAAAAAATCAATCTTAAAATATTTCTGAAGAAAGGGAAGAGTGTCTCTAGTCAGTTGGTCAATCATTCAATGAATTGAGCATCAGTCCTTGATACTTCATTTTTGACATTTTACCTTTGGGAGCAGTTGGTTTATTCCACACATTAATATGTGTATATTAATTACACCACCAATATATACAGTAAGTAATGAAAACTGACCTACTCACAAGTAGATTTGTGAATTCAAAATATTTCCATCCAAAAAAAAGCCATGATGGTTGAGTAAATATTTGTTTAAGCAGAACATTACATTGCCAGGTCCAGTAACAAAATATTCATGGTAACTTAGGTCAAAAATTGTTTTTAAATCTACCTCTGCCTAGACTGCCATCCTTCACTGCCAACAGCAAAATCTTCAACACTGCCTAAAGAAAATTAATGTCCTTACTGAGTAAGTCATATAAGTTGGCTGTCTTTCATATATGTCATTATTAATTAATGCATGATGAAAACTGTTATAGTATCTTGTACTAAATGACATTTACCTATGCACTCAACACTGGAAACCTCTAGTAGGGGGAAATACAGGGCATTATCCACAAAGAATACGAGTACACCAGGATACAACCCAGCCTAAAGAGGAAATACTTCTGCAAAAGTCCACACCCCATGAAATAATTCCTCACATGAAGGAGGTGGCAAAGAAGAAATTAAAGAATTCCTTGAGAACTCAAACAGCTGACAGACATATTCAAGCTAAGTGCATAACCCAACTACATACTAAACTATTGTTTTCTTGACTAGAAGATGAAAAATTATCACTTTGTTTTTTAATAAGAGCTGGTTAACACATCGAATCATTGTTTCCTTTCCTCCTTGTTTTCGATCGGTATCATCATCCTCTTTGAGTCGAGAAAGAAACTCATAGACACCTCAGTAGGACTAATTAATATAAAACCAAAAGATATCGAGTTTGTTTGGAGCCTTAAGATACTCTAACTCACAAACAAATAAAAGGAACGAGGCAACACTTGAACATTTCCTCCAGGAAATAGATTTCTCATATTTTAAAAGCCGTAACGCAGCCTCTTGAAAATAAAAGCTTTTCAGCTCTAATTGTAAACAAAAAAGAAAAACAAATGAAAAAAAAAATTGCAACTGTTTTCCGCATATACAAAACTTACTTTTCAAAGCGGCTTTCAATGTTTCCGCTTGCCTGTTGAAAATAAAAGGGGTAGAATGAAACAATGGATAATTAAGCATAATGTTCATAAGTATTATTTTACAAAATTCAAAATGAAGAATTGAAAATTTTTACCGTAAAACTTGGGCAACCGACCCAAGGATCGGCGCCATGTTCAGATCATCATTCCGCTGGACAGAGTAACTTCACCGCGGTCTCGTTCAAAATTTCACACCTGTCCCCTTTCCCAGGAGTCTTTTGTTTTTTAATTGAATTCATTTTGAAATCACTAGTGATCCTTGAAATCTGATTGGTTCTCATTGGTGCGATTTATTTACGATTCGCATCATTTTTTGCTCCAAATCACATCTTTTTCCCAGCCAGTGAGAAAGTTTTACCAAAATAAATAGCCAATCGCTCGTTCAAGGAAACCACGCGATTTGCAGGAAAATGAAAAAAAAAAAACAACCTTCGCAACTTTGCAACTTTCTACAACCCTGCTCACTATTGGATCAACAAAACCTTTGTAAAGACTAAAAACTCCGTCATCTGAGCGACTGAATTTTTCAATTTTAAAATGGATGTAATGAAGTGGTAATTGAACACCGTGTCGTGCAATCACACTTTTGATTTCAAATCATGCATTATTATGATTTCAGATTTAATAATACCTATGCAAAAATTTCAGCATGCTTATTGGCTGAGAACACGTCAATTAATTCCAAACAGAGCAGAAAGTTGAAATTGAGTGCAGAAAGTTGAAATTAAATTTATTGACGGGTAAGTTGCGAAAGCATAACAAAACAAAATGAGGGGATAAAAAAAACGTTTTAACCCAGAGTTTAAGGGAGAAAGCTAGAAACAAAAACGCCCAGCAAAGAGAATCCAACTGGCTAGAAGTTTGGCCTCCAAAGCCCCGAATTTTTTCCTTAATCACTATAATTTTTCGTCTTTTAAGCCGTCACCTCTATTCAGCTGCCGCGGTCACCCTTAACTAAGTCCCAACAGCTTTTTTTTTATTGTCCTCCGCCTGTATTGAACAGTCTCTGAAAGCGGGACTAATCAAACAAAACTAAGAATAATCTTTCAAGTAATTTTTGATCCATCTATCTCTCCCAAAATCAAAGTAAGTAGTGCTATTTGCAAGCGAGATTCTGTCAAAATGTGGTCAATTATGGCATAATATGGCATTGTTTATCGTTTTTTTTAAATACCCCTAATCTGTGGAACCTGTGTATAACGGTTAACCTATATTAAGCAGTCACCCCGCCATTTCCCGGGGTACTGTAATGATAAAATTACCCGGTATCCTCCCCCTCCCTCCCCCCCCCCCCAAAAAAAAAAAGATTGGTACGGCGTCAGTGTAGGACCTACTTACAGGAAAATTCCGCCCATTTTCGTGGACATGAAGCAGATTCAACTCTAAAGTGACATGGAAGAAAGACTCGACAGCTAAATGTCCGGGTGCATGGTAAGAACACACGATGGCTCGATATGAGAGTTCTCTGGGTTGTGTTCTTAACACGACTTTGCTCTCGTGGTGTTCTCAATGGCGCGTTTGTAGGAACTGGACGTCAGTGACATGACCTTGTGCAAGAAATGATGTCACTTCTTTATAAAAGGTCAGAGGTACCGGTAAATTGATGAATGTAACGATTTATTTTCACTATCATAGATATAGAATAAAACAAGGTATGATATTGAATAAATAGGTTATATTTTCGTTTAAGTGAAACTAAGATATGTTTATGATCTAGGCGAAGAAGAACCCGTTATCTGTATTAGGGTTAAAATTGTCTTATATTATAGATGACGTTTCCATTTAGATGCACACGGCACCAAACTAAATAATACAGAAAGTACGTTACGGAAACACAGCGCACAGTTCAAGTTGGCAAGACTGTGGGCTCAACCCTTTAACTCCTGATAGTGACTAGCATTTCATTTCTCCTTACAATATCGCCCTTGATTTTAGCATTAAGGTCAGGAGAACAAAGGAAATGATCACCAACTAAAGAAGCTTTTTGATTGTTAAACAAATTTTCCATGTCAACAGCGTAGGAGGTATGGAGAACAGTATGGAGAATATGCATACTGATGTTAGGTTCCAAAGGGTCAACAACCGCTTTTTGAGAATTGAGCCCGCTGTGGGTGATAGATTCTGGTTCTAGGAAACTTTAACGCCACACAACCGAAACGTTTTACTATGTATGGTTCCGCGGTTGTTCAAGTCCGATTGACAAAAGAAAAAATAACTTTCACCAATACATGCGAAAGAAGGAAACATGAAACATGATCATTAAGAATTAGTTTCCCTTTGATCTTTATGAGCAGCCCCGCCTAGCTTTTCAGGCCTTATGAGTGCGAACAAAAAATCGCCGCGCAAAAATTGGAAACAGGAGTCACCCTGTCCCCATTTACCGCCCCACACACCATGTCTTTGGGCGGCTTCTTTTCGTTCGTTCACTTTCTTCTTTTGATTTGAGTTCAATGGATGTTTTAACATTATTGAAACGTGAAAGTGTCAATTGCTCATTTCTTGGTTGAAAGTCGTTTCGTGCAATGTGCACTAAATCAGCTGCGACGTATTCATGATAAATGAGATATTGCACGTCGAAGTTACATGGTAACTAATTGCACAATTTTCAGATGACTGTTCAAAGTGGCAAGGATATGCGTAGAGTTCGTTTCTACCGATCCGACCAAACTCAAAAGAAAAAAACGAACTCAATGATTTCAAATGCAACAATTGAGCAAGAATGCTTTTGATCTGTGCAGGAAACGAAGTCATGACAATTTAAGGTGCATAGTATCTTCGCTTTGTCTTCATGTTCTATCTGTCACGCAAGGCTACGCTCTTTCCCGACAAGCGTAACGTTGCGTGACACAGAAAAGGTCATAACTATAGCCCGGCTCAAACGTAGTAAATCCCTGCTTTGGCTTTCAAACAGTCTTAAGAAAATCATTATTTTATCAAAAAATGAATTAAAAAACCACAGTTAAAAACTCGATTATCCCATCAGTATTTCTACCCTTTGCTTCAGCATCGTAACCCCATCCCATAGTCTAATTGTTACATAATTTTAAAAAAGTAACAAATAAAAACATTTTGACCGCATCAATATTCGAAGAAGTACGTTAAACAAGTGTACTTGTGGAAAGGCTTAATCCTAAAAAATCTCTCTTAGTTCCCCCGTCAGGAGTCTTGTTGATTTGGCATACACTACTCGCGCCTAAAAGAAAAGAGTACCCTTAGTTTGTTCCTCCCGTCGCCGAAAAATCCAGTCTGACTTTGTGATTTTGTTTTCTTTCGATTGCATTACAAATATTAAAGTCGTATGTAAGAATACAGAACCGTCTGTAGAGGATGATAGAATCATGTTGACGTCCTTAGGTGTCTATCTTCGTCTGATCCGCTTCCTTCAGAATTATTATCATCATTATCATCATCTTCGTCGTCATCTTCATCATCTCCTCTGGGTTTTTCGTTATTTTCTTTGGCATTTGGGTCTTTACAAGAACATTCTCCTGGTTTACAAAGATACGAACGGAAAACCCTTCTGTCACTAGTAGTCGATTGACAGCAGTCCCCTTCATCCCAGCGACAGTGGGCATTATTGTTCACCGCATCACACCAACCGTCGTTCATGTCCCCAATACGACAACTGGGAACACATCGCAACTTCGAGGGGTCTGGGAACCAGTCAAGTTTCCTAGTGCATTTTAAAGACACTTGCCAATTACCTTCGTCATCCTACAAAACGAATGAAAATGCGTTACTATGGCTTTTCAGTGCAGTACATGTAGATTGGCAGGGGGTTCACTATTCCTCTATTCAAAAACCAGCAACGCTCATAGTAACATTTCCCACAACCATTCTCTCACAATTTATGATGCAAATAGACTGAGTAGAGTCCAATACGGTCTCTGATCATACGAGTGATTAACAAAACTAAAAGGGACGCTGACTTCCGATTTGCTAATCACGAATATAATTACAGACAGAATTGGACGAAAAGAAGTCTGTTTACCCATTAATCAAAACTACATGTAAGTCAGCATTTGAGAAACAAACTAACCATCGATTATACGTTTTCATTTAGAAGAAAATAACAACAGTTAACTCGGAAAATTCAAGGCAAAGGCGTACACCAACGCATAGACTAATGAAGATAAGGTTGATCTTCGCAGTAATGACTAAGAGACTAATGGTGGTTAAAGCTTTTCGGAATCTGATTACTAAATTTTAGCCTGGAACATAATCAAAGATACGAAAGGAACGATCAGGCAAAGTCAAGCAAAAGAGAAAACATAACATTGTGAAATGCGACACTTACAGGGTCCACAACATCATTCGTGGCAGTTTCGCATCTGGGCTTGCATGTGCCTCCAGGGAAGTTATCATCGCAAAGGAAGATGATCCCTTTCGCTTCAGGCTTTGAACACCGACCAGCTGTAATACAACGCTTTAGAGGTGCACTCCACTTTCCGGTTTCTTCACATTTGACTTGGTGAACCTGGACATAGGATTTGCCAAAAGAAAGTAAGATCAAGTTTCATGTTTAGCTCGAGTGCAAATATCGACATAAGGGTTTTCACATTTTATCATCCTTTTAAGGTTAAGAAATACATATATATTTCAATCCCAATTTCCATTCCTACACATTTTCGTTCCACCAAGGACTTTTTCAGGAGTCGTTTTGGCCACAACTGACCGAGTTGACCAGCGCAAAGACAACAGAGAGACTGGATTCAAAGCCGAATGCAAACGTGAATGTGAAAGAATAGATGACATTTTGGCGCAGTCATTTGCGCCACAAAAAAGCACCGAGACCGTTACAACCCTACACTACTACTATATCGTTACATTCAGAGGGAAAAATATGCCAACAGATTTTAAGATAAAAAGTAGTGCGCACCTCTTGTCCTGGACAAAAACTCGTGCAAACACTACCCATGGCGTTACCATTGGAGCAATTATACCACATAGCCATCACAGAGATGGATGGACACTTGGTAGGTTCGCATACAGGATGTGTCCACCGACCACTCTTAGTACAGCGCATCTTAAAGATATTCCTCGCACCGTCGCTCTCCTTCACACTATAGCCAGCCTTACACTGATATTTACAAGACGTGCCTGGAAACAGAGTTCTTTTGCCATCAGAACAGTCGTTCTCTCGAGGACGGCTGTTTGCTGGTGTTACAGGGTGTGGACACGTCATGACACAGTGCGCTGTTTGCGCGGACCACTTGCCGTCCTCTTCGCACGTCACGCTTCCTTCCCCTGCGCTCATTTTAGTCTGCTGCGCGCACTTTATATAGCATTTCTTACCAAACGTTTGACCATGTGGGCAATCTAAGAACAGATAGGTATACTGATGTTGAAGTCACAACAGGAGTGTGGAAAATAGGTTCTTAAAGTGCTCGTGGTCTACCCCCCTTCTCCAAACCTTCAATATAAAATCATCTTCAAGCAAGAAAACATCTTGCTTGCTACATTATCCCAATAGAACGTTACTTTCCTTGCGGTAAACCTGAGCCAGCGACCTTAATATCATGCTGAATATTAGGACTTGGTGTCAAATAACGAAGACATCCTGCCATGAAAATTCTGTGCATTCTTGTCAAACGATGATGCCAAAAGCCGCAAAGAAAGGAAAAGAGGCTAAATAAAAATAGTAAATCGATTTTCTGTCAGATGCTAAGCTTCACGAGTTGAATGACTTAGCTCAGTTCTGGCCACTTAAAAATCAATACGATAATCTTATCACCACTTTGTTCCCAGATTCTCTCTTTCTCTCCCAACCACCCTCAGGAACGAGAGAACCTGGGAATAGAGTTCACTGCATCAAAATTTTGACTTAATGAAACCACCCGATCCAAAAACAAAAATGATAAAAAGAGAATATGAGCCAAAAATGATTGACAGTTTTCATTACTAACCAGCCTTTCCGTTAGGGATTCTTGGAACGCCACAGTTGACAGGCACACAAACCTTAGTGATCCCTTCCCATTTCTTGTCCAAACACATAATTTTGAAAGGCCTAAACGGTCGGTAACCTGGCTTACAAGTCACTGTACAAGTCTGCCCTTCCACGGTCCCCTCGCATTTGACGCTGCCATGCTTGACCACAGGTTTCTGACAGGATGGCCTCTCGCAGTTGTATTTGTGGCAGTGTTGTGTGTGGGGACTAAACACCTCGTCCGATTTGCATCTTGCCATCTCTACTACATCGAACTGCGCTCTAGAACGCAGGGCCACGGCAGCTATACTGACCAAGGGAGACGTGAAGCTGATATTTACTTTACGGACGTAAAAGAATGGCTCTGTCATGTCATGATAAACTGGGATGACTTCTGGATTGGTCTTACATGAAACATTCGTCCTCTGGTTTCCCGCGGACATGACGCGGCCATTCGTGCCTATCAGCTCAACTTTGACGTTCTTGTCATGAAAATCATATTCTCCTTTACCTTCGGAGCCGAGGTAAAGCACTATTGCAGCGGGCACGACCGATCGGTTGAAGGTGACCTCCAGCCAGTAGTTTCCATCCCTGAAGAGGGTGTCTATTCCCTTGCAAGGACCCCATGCGAATTGATATTCTTTGTCAAAACTGCCCTGACAAACCTGTGTAAGGATGTGATAACTTTAATTAGTCTTCGCAAGAAAGACTAAAGAAAGATATTTCCCTGGTCAATACGTTTGAAATCGCCAAATTCATGTTTTATCTTCAAAATAACCTATTGCCCCCATTGCTTCTCAGTCTTCCTGTAACAAATAGCCAAATTCACCGCTATGGCACTAGAATAGCCCGTAATTTGGAACTTCCTTCATGTATTAGTCACTCGTTCGTCAAGTCTTCTTAGCTTAAAGAGGAATATGCTCAAGTTTTTACTAAAATAACCACTTAATTGGGCATGCCGCACATTCGCGGCACTTATTTTTTCAAATACACATATATTATTGAACGTGAGGTGACCTCTCCCATTAGCCTAGTGGTTTCTTGAGGTCTTCTCGCCTCCCTGTCACGGTGCTGTAAATTTATTTATCGTTACTGTTGATAAAATAGCAGATAAATGATGATGATGACATTGTAATTCGTTACCAGGTCAAAAGGCGGTGGTCCCAGGACGACGCTTTCCGGGGGGCACTTGCTCTCGCGGTAATTGGGATTAACTGTCACTGATACAGCCCACTGATCTTCAAATCCTTCAGGAGTGTAGAACCCACAGTCCTTGATGCTGGTTTTTTTCTCAAATTGTTCACATATTCCGTCTCCATCATGGCGATAACACAAACTTGGATGACCTGGAAAAGTTCAATCTTGTCAGTTCCAAACATGACCCATGGATTACGATGGTTCTATAGCTATCGTTTTTTATGACCATCAAATGGATTAGGGAGGACTTGATGTTACCGTAACTTATAATTTAAGCGTCAAATCATTAAATAAATCTCTTCTTACTTTCATTGGCACTGAGAGGCAATACATCAAAATTCCTTCTAATGATTAAGGTAATGCAATTTCACACTCTATGACCGATAATGTTCAAAGTTGCACTTCGAATGTAGTCTCATTTGTAAACGATACGAAGTTAGTCTAAGTGCCAGCTCTAAGGCGTGAGATATCCAACAATGGAGCGCGATACATCGAAGCATTGAAAAATAAACCTTGTCAAGCTTTAAAACAAAGCGCTTGAAAATTTTAAAGGACAAAAGGACACAGGGAATCTCTTGGTCCCAATGATAAAAGGACACATTGAGTTGTAAACAAGTATTTCTCACATCCCGAAAATAAAGATAAAACATTCACATCGCGAACAGTGCTGTGAAGTACATACACAAAAACATGGCATTCACAATCCCGAAGGATTTTAGTAACTTTCCAAAAATGATAAGAATCCTATTTTTCCACCCGTGACTAAGCTCTAAGAAAGCGAATGTTGTTTTCAGTGACATTCAAGTGGATTATTTCCTTCCTCTCAGCAAAAGCGCGTCTTTACGTAGAATAATTGTAACTCTAGTAGTTGAAAAAATAGCTCTAAAAATAGATTTAAGGGCTTATCACAAAAAACCTTCTAAATTAATTGAGTGGTTAGGGAAAATGTGTGCAACTCCCGGGTGATTTAGTTACGAGGACAATGGGAAAAAATCGGAGAGTTTACTGCTAAAATTAGGAATTCTTTTGCTAAAACCTATTCTACATACACACTCACAAGCAATTGTTTTTGGAGCCGATCCACCGCGTGGGGCATAAATCTCTATCACAGTTCCATTCAAACTGTTTCTAGGTATTCAAGCAAGCCCTTTTTTCATCCGATTATAAAATACTGATCACCGTGTGATCTTTTGTTAGACGAAGTTGAAAAGAGGAGTTAATCTGTTCATTCTGTAATTTCAACCATAACTCTAAATCTTAAGCTTTTCTCTTACAAGATCAACTAATTGCCCTTGTTCACATCGTACTCTGCTTCGTTAGCTTTTCATGAGGCTAAAGGTTTTGTTACCTTTAAACATGATCACCTGACCACAGATGTTCAAAGGGCAAATGACGGTATCCAACAGTTAAATCACTCTCTAACGAATAAGTGTCGACAAAACTTTCCGCACTATCAATCCGATGGACATTTATCAAGTGGATAGCTTTATGCGCCCTTCGAAAATTAATTAACTTTCTGGCCTCTTTTCAAGCATTTAGTTTGTAAGCGGCGCGCGTTAGAACTTCAGAGCGAACAAAGAGGGAAACCTTTCTCCCTTCGACGCCCAACGCCACTGACGCCCCGGTTTACTATTTTCGTAGTTCTATTAACTTTCTCAGCTCTCACTACCTACTTGCTTGAATTTTTTATGGAAAAAATTTACAAACTGGGAGTCAAAAAGAAAGTTTTTGCAGACTTGAAAGGGCGAGACAAAGTACGGGCAACAAAAAATGAGCGTGCAGGATACTCCAGTGCTGAATTTTTTGATCACTTTTGCGAGAATACCTCGCGACCGCCAGACAAAGTTGAGCATCTCTATTATCTAAAATAAGATCTTCAATTTCTTCAAACGATAATGTCCTAGAATATCATGGACAAAACCTTTGTAACTGCGTGGCTGGCAATTGTGTGTGTACAAAAGCAATGAGCGGCCAGAGGTTTGAGGCGGAGATTTTTTCTGCTCGCTGCTTCACTACTCGTCTGTTCGCGCACACAAAACCGCCAGCTACAAAGGATAAACTGGTCTTTGCCATCACTTGTCGACTAAATTCCTGAAGACCACCTTGTTGATTTCGGACAGTGTGTGCATGTCTAAGCTAATCAAAAACGTAGTCATTAGCTAAGACTTTAAGCCGGAAGAGATCCATTTAAAACACTGGATTACGTTCCATCCTTGTATATATTTCAAAGTTCTGCTCTTCTCAAAATCTGTTTTAGAAATTCTAAGAAAATGATGAGCAAACAGTCCAAGTGCAACAGCTGGCACAACTCAAAGGTATACAAACGACAATAAATATTTGAGATAAAGTCGTTAGGAAAAATCCTGGTAAGAGATACCTGATGAATTAAGCTGAAGAAATGAAAATAGCTTTCAGCCCGTGAATCTTGAGATCACATTTCAGAAATACAGATTATCATTTTTCTTTCTTAGTTTTTGTGTTGTTTTGTTTTGTTTTTGTTTTGATTTTTTTTGTTTTTTTTTGTTTTTTGCGGTGACCGTCTCTTGAAGTAGGTAGAGAAACACTTTGTTGCAAGCATCTTGGCACGTATTCATTGCATGTAAAATCCCACAAAAAGCTTTTGTTATCCTTATCTAAGCTTCTTATTGGCTTATTCTGTTATCCTGGCATAATTTTTCTTTCGAGTTTCAGTTCACCTGAATACGTGCTCATATGAGCTTTTAGGTCTCAGTTCAGTTCGATTAAATTGACTAATCGGAGGGACTCGAGGAGCTCGCAGATGATGGATGATTAGGTTCCTAACCTTTACGTGAAGGGCCTATTTAAATGGAAGGGGAGAAAAAAGGCTCTTTTTTTAAGACTAGGTGCTAAGCCTGAAACGCTTTCTCTTTCGTAAGAATCAGCGACTAATTTTAACGTGTTTGCACTACAAATGATTTGGGTGGGCAGAGTGTTGTCAAAACTGAAGATTTTAGGATTATTTCATAGATATACTATCTTGTTATATTTTATCGACAAGCAAAGATTACGCTTCATTTAAATTCCATAAAAAACGGCGGCGAAGATACGTCCACCAATTAACGTAATGCGATTTCACACTCGAAGATTTTCCCGCAAAGTTCAAAGCTCAATTGCAGTTTTCCTTGCCCTTTTCTTCAGCTCAGCCTTTGAAGGCCCTGCCCTTTCATATGCCCCTTGTACAGAGCAGAGCGCCCTTTCAAGAGTATCATCGCCGTAAAACTAACCGTTAGATGTACCCAGCCCCCTACTCTTCCAACATTTAGCTCAAAATCTCGTAATACAATTCAATTCGAACACAAATTTAATTTCTGGCAAAAAATCAACTCGCGGTCGTCAAACTTTTTCAAATGTCAGAACACAATCAATTAGTCGCTAAGAAATCGGAAAACGCAAGGAAACGATTATTGATAAGTGTTTACATCGGAGGCCAGAAATATATCAGAGTCGGAAAATTCAAAGCATTCTTTTTGAAAAGAGCTTATGAATTTGTTTTACCTACTCCATATGTTTTGATAGTCTCTTGCTGGCACCATGTCCGAGATTGAAATCAATCACATCCCGAGGACCTCAGCGATGAAACAGCAAGCACAAGGCAAAATGATACGTTCGTTGAAAAAAACAAGTGATAGTTTTTTAATAAGTTTCCAATTTAAAGGAAAAGAAAAGATTGCTTGACAGGCTAGATTGCATATCACTATGCCATCACTCAATGGCAAGCTTTCGGTAAAAGTGTCTCCTCTATTTTCGGAAATCTCCACTAATCTGTGGATAACTAAGATAACACACTATTAAGTCAGCCCTAGATGAAAGATGGATTTTGAACCGCAGAACTTTAGCAACCTGTGAAACGTAATCTGAGACAAAAATAGAATATACAGTGAAGACTAGTTTATAACACCAAAACCAAACCATGGTTCAGAACTTTACGCGTGCGTCAGTTGGCCGAATCACAAATATTCTACTCCACTTCATTGTAAAATCTGTCCCCTATATAAGATGATTTATCAACACTCTATAAAAACAGAATCTTCAGTATTTACTATCGTAGCACGCTTGCTTGAAATATATCTTCCAAACTGGGAGAAAATGTACATTGATGCTTACTCACCTGTACAATGAAACACGTCTTCTTTCTTACACTGCATGTTACAGCCATCGGCGTCCCGTAGGTTTCCGTCATCGCACTCTTCGCCAATACTTTTGTCAACCTTGCCGTCTCCGCAAAAGCCTTGCCCAGGCAAGTACAGCAAGGGAGGAGAAGGTGGACCTGTAAGACCTTGACTTGTTACAGCTTGGACTGTGTAGGTGTACTCCTGCCCTGGTTCCAGGTAACTGAGGAAAGAGAACAATTGTGACTGAGTGCATCATCGAATATAAATCTCTTCAGCTGCTCGCCAGTCATTGTTTCAGTTAGTTTTACCTCATCTGCCTTTGAAAATTTATCATTTATCTATTTTAACAATGATTTGAATATTAATTTCCGTGGGGCGTGGGAGAAAATAATCGTGTCTTGTATAAACTTTCTATAGTATTATCCCCAAAATAAGTCGAGGTAACGGCGAGGAAAACGTACGAAAAGCACAGAAACCGTTTTGCTTGATGTACTTTCTTCCTGAAGTTATGGATGCTAATGTGAGTACATTACTATGAAATCAACCTAAGGGCAACAAAGTATACACGTAGATCTGGGAAAATTTAAGAAAGAAACAATCCAACATATGATAATTCGTTTGAATATAAAAACAGATATCTGTTCCCAATCAGAACTTAAAAAGAGTCACTACCTCACTTATTATCAAACATTTTTTATGAATATGGGATCTATCTTCCCAGCAATGAACACTACATAAGGAGTAGTGAAAAAAAAAATTCAGGCCCGTACTGGATTTGAAATCATGACCTCTGCGATACCGGTGGAGTGCTCTACAAACTGAGCTAACAAGCCAACTGAGAGCAGGTCATTATGTTGGTTCCAAGTAAACCCATGGGGTGATGAATAAATGACTGTAAATATATGAAAAACATATATGTGAACTGCAGATAAAGAAATGAATATATAAGTGCTCTTTGGGGTAATGAACAGTACTTAAACAGTAGTAAAAATAAGGCTACTGCTTAAGTAGTGTTCATTACTGCGAAGATCGCTTCCACATTCATTTCTTTATCCACAGTTCTCATTTATGTATTTCATATTTTTACAGTCATTGAAACATTTTCATGTTGGCTAGTAACGAGAATTTGTTGTTAGATCCAAACAATGTCTAATACATCTCATTACATGTATGCTTAGTCCTTTCACTCCTAAGGTCTTTTCAGAAACTCTCCACACTGTCTGCCATACATTGTTTTATAATTTCAGTTGCGAGAATCTAGTATTGGATCAAATAATAACCCCCATAATTATGTTTTTTGATAATCTCATCACCTGTCTGCCTGATATTGTAATGAGAAAGTATGTCTTGGTTTCATTACTGGGACGAAAGGGTTAACCATTTAACTCCCAAGATCTCATTAGTAATTCTCCTTACTGTCTGCAATACAGTTCTGGTGATGTTAGTTTGGAGAATTTGGTATTGGATCACCTTATGATCCCCTTAATGATATTTTTTTTTATTCTCATCACCTGTCTGCTTGATATTGTAAGGAGAAATTCTGTCTTGGTCACTCATGGGAATTAAAGGGTTAGCAGTGTAATATTTGGAGGAGGGAGGAAAATAGACATATTAATCACTCCAAGGGGTTGAAGAATTAGGACTCATGACAAAATTAATTACCTGTCTTCAAACTGGGTGGTATCCACAGGCACTGAAGAACCTTCTGGAAAGGGTGGATCTCTAGTCACCAAGTACTTCATGGGATCACATTTGAGGCAGTTTGGATGATCAACAGACGAGGTTAGCTGAATGGCATCAATGACAGTCGATATTTCCTTCTTCAGGTAGATTCTAACATTTGAAATCTTCTTGGTTAATGAGTAGGGTGTTAAAGGAATTGTAAGGGGTGCATCACACTGTGCTGTAAAGTGTCCCAGCGACAACTTTGAATCATCCGCAAAGATTAACTGTATGTCGGTAATTCCATCCTTAGAGGAAAACAGTACCCATACAGAGAGTTTAGTTGGAATAACAGCTTCCTTGAATCCAAACTCGATAAACGTTTCCGAACACTGCGTACGGAAGGGACTCCACCCCACGACGCTCATGATGCAAGGCTTAGCTACATCTGGGGCACCAATGGCCTGATGCGGAGCCCAATATCCATTGGGACGGGAGGGACAGGGGCTCCACGCACTTACGGCATATTGCTGAAATACTTTGTCCTCGCGGCACTCATGGCAACCCTTAAGCGCATTTCCTCCTCCAGTTCCTAGCGGTGGTATCCAGGTCAGCTTGACGGTGTCCTTCGTTTTAGATGTTACGCGTGGAGGAATGGGGATGAACGAAGGTGTTGTCTTGGCGCCCTGCCATGACTGATGGATCAAATCAATGTAGCAGTGCATTCGAGCCACTTGTTGTTCTGAGAACGAATCGGTGCAGGAGTCATCTGTGTAACTCATGTAGTTTGAAAAAGGAGTTTCCACGAACTTCCTGACTCCGCACGTCCTTTCCGATTTCTTAACAACGGGATCTCGACACTGGTTGTTAGCTGGGGTGGGGTTAGTGTCAGAGCATAAATCACCCAACTCGAGTGAAGGGAAAGTCTCAGCACAATCATCTGTGCAATCTAAATCAGTCACCCCGTAATGTACGTGCCACAAGCCTAACATGTGACCAAACTCGTGAACAAGGGCATCCAGATGCTGTTTGCGACCAAAATTCTTCAGGCCCAGAATGGTACCACCATATATACTATGCACGGATTTGTCCCAAGGAAAAGTGGCCAGGCCTTGTAAGTCGTCATTACTCCACTGAGCCAGGTAAACGTTCAAGTAATCTTGATTGTCTAGATTGACCAGAGTCTTGTACTCTCTCTCGCTCATGTACGCTCTGTTTGGAGAACTAGGATCGAAGCAAGTTTTATAAATGTCTGTTACACTCTCGTTACAACAATCACCATCATCCCATGCGTTGTAGAATTTGTTGCATTCTAAGTCGCAAATGCCATTCCCACGCTTTTTGGCGTCACATCTGATTTTTGGATCATCACAGTCGCCGCCGTCATTTCCTGTAATTTCGTAATTGCAATGCTGTTTATTACAGCGCGAATCGCCGATCTTTTCGCGTTCACACTGGTATGTCACCGTGCGCCGTCGTAAGGAGGTGTTTCGGATGTTCCATTCGCTAAGTTGAAATGTGATGTTGTACCGCTTGAAAGCTCGGTTTAGATGAGCGTGCTGCGCTTTCAAATGTTTCTTGGTCACCATAGGATTGGTGCCGTCATCTTCCATTATATTAACAACTCGATATCGCACAACCTTTTTTCCTCGCAGGTGCTTATTTTTCACATAACTGCGGATAATCTCAGGATTGTCACATACTGTTACACCACACGGGGGTTTAACGATCGAAAAATCGTTGGCATCGCCTGGGATAGTTGACTGCAAAATGTCCGGTTTTCCAAGAACAGTCACCCATCTGGTCTTTGGATTGCGATTGAGTTTTTCCTTTTCGGCGAAACTTTCGTACATTGCAAGATTAAGATCATCAAGATATGGTTCTTTATCTCTAATCGGGGCAAAAACATTCTTGATGATTTCCTTGTGTGATTTCGCAACTGACCACAGTCGAACCTCATCGATCAAACCTCGATAAAACATTCCGGTTGAGTGATCGCCCCCCGCCTCTAAGTGCTCACAGGGGTAAGAGTCGAAGCCGTCGGCGAAAATGTGTCCGCTCTGTTCCGAAGACACTCCAACTTTGGCTTGATTTACGTACAATTTCATTTTCTTTCCATTAAATGTTGCTGCAACATGAAGCCATACGTTTGGTTCCACGCTGCGCGGAGAAAGCAGTTTCGTGTCGTTATCTGATCTTTGCGTTCGTAGTCTAAAAAAAACTCTCAGGCTTCGCTCAGTACTTGCCTCTTCCAGGCCTATCGCCCAACCACCGTCTTTTTTGTCCGGCGAACAGTCATCAAACAGACCGAGGACTGTCACCGGCGATACCTGGCCACCTTCGGGTCTCATCCAAAAGTCTACTGTGAACTGATGCGATGGTATTTTGACGGTTCCTGTAAATCGCACTACTGCGTCATCAAGTAAACTCAGAGCATTTCCAAATTGCGACCCCGTTGGCGGAGATTGTGGAAACCGTGCGTGATCATGGCGTTTAACACGTCGCTTTGAAGCGCAGTCAGAGCGATGCTTGTCCTCTTCGGCCTCAGCAGCTTTCATAGCATTTAAAATGACGCTATTTCCATGTACCATCTCTATTTTCATTACAAAGTGTAATAAGAACACCAGCGACGTAAGAAGTAGAATCTTATTGCCGCGATCTCCCATTTTCAGCGCGTTGTCAAACAAATCTTCTTCGCTCCAAGCGTTTTCTTTTCCTCCCTGTACGTCACCGGTGAATAATCCTTCGAGATTACAGCACACGACCTTTATGCCCCGTATCTTTCTCCTAAGGCGATAAAGTAAACAGATAGATATTGTTTCTGCTGATTGTAAATCAGGCTATTTGTCAGCCGATCATGACACAAATGATCCTCTGCGGTGAGCTTAATTAATACTTGCGCGCGTAAAGTGCGTAGCTAAACGTGTCCACAGCGAAAGTTAAACGCGCTACAAATGAAACTAAACCACTTTCGATCGCTGAAACAGGCCGAAATTTCGGCTTCACACGTAAGGGTATTTTGATTGACATGGGGTTAACCCCAGGAAACGGAAATCGCTCACGTAGTCCATATCGCAAGCTCTCAGGGTGCGGTGTACTTTTCGCATTATTGTTTGCCAATGAAAATGTGTTATGCAAATAATTTATTTGCTGAGGCTCGCCTTCAAAAGAATTACCTATTGTTCAGCGACACTTCCAGTGACAGCGCTTGCATGGGCTACCAGTTCTGCGCTATCGGTTTTGAGCACAGACGGATTTAAATCACTTGACTTATTTCATATGAAGAAAGAGGATTAGGTCTAGACAATAACTTATCTTTACATATCAGAGAAGGTCGATTTTTCTGACAGCGCATACCCAGTACAAGTGAAAGGGTCACTTCGATCAGAATCTTTATCATCCATTTTCAGCATTACCAATGTTAGTTCGAATGTAAGTTGTTATGAAAAAAACCGAGGTGTATATGTGAAGACAAGATTAGAAACGCAGCTTAATAGAGACGCAAACAGTAAGCATCCAGGGCGGTCAAATACAAAGGATATGATCCGAAGATAATTAGCTAATTACAAGATGATAAAATTTGACAAATGTGGTTTACCTGGACCCACCAGAGTTTTTTGTCGTAACTTGCGAAAAACATTAGCTCACCTTTACTACAAAAGGCAACTGTCATGCTTTTAGAGAGTAAAGCACACACCGCTAAGGGACTGGTGATCCAAAACAGTTCATTCTTTCATCGCTTTTAAACGCGAAGATATCGAAATAACAAGGTTAATGGACAGGAGTTTTCAAGCAACAAAAAGAACTTAAAAAAGATATACAAATATAAGTCATTTTTGGTATCGTTGTCACCAATGCCAAGGTGACTATGATTTTCTAGGTGTAAAAAGAATCCTTCCTCTCGCAGATTAGAACTTCAGTGAACTCGCGACCTTGTGGCTAAGACAATTTACGGCTTCGGCTTTCGCAGTTTCCTGTAAATCTTAACCAAAGAAAAGGGTAATGAAAGATCGGGAATAACACGATTTACTATCACTTTAAAAGCCTGACATTCTGAATATTCCCCTGGTTTCTTAAACGAGACAAAGTTATCTAATTAACGCGTGATATATATATATTTCGCGTGACAGGAAGTCGCTTGAGGCCAAACCGCGTGACTGGATCTAACCGGGAACTTTAGCGAAGCACTCCGGTGAAAGAACAACTACCCGAGAAAATTGTATACGACGCGTTTGTTTTTGCAACAACTTCCCCCTGACTGTGGCGTGAACTATAAATAAACCACCAGGGAGGTAACTCGAGTCAAAATCCTCACCTTCGGAGAACACTCCTAGAAATCACGTGTCGAGGTTAGCTATGCCAAACGAAAATAAATAGACGTGATGTCGGAAAAAGTAAATAAATGAAAAGAGGAACACGAACGTCAAGACCAGAATGGCGGAAAAAAGTGTTAGTTGCATTCCACTGGAGTCCAAAAGTGGATGATTCACGGTTACGTAATGCTTAGATACACAAGACTTGGCGACATTTTTCTTCTCATCTAAGGAAAAATAAGTACTAGCGGCGAAAACAAGCAGCTTAAACCACAAAGATACAAGTTCAAGTGCTTTTGGTTTGAGGGGGTATTTTGCCTTTTTAACCAAAGTTTCTTCTAGAGATTACCGATAGCATTAGCTGTCACGTAGGAAAAGGAGAAAGAGAATTGAAGTGCTTTATCATCACTCTAAGCGTCACTCTCAGTCTCGTGGAGGAATCAACCACTTTGTGACCCTCAGTAATCCTGTTCACGGGATCTGAGGACCGTTTTCCAAACTCAACTAAATTTTCGCTTGTTGTCATTCATAACGAACTTTGAACCATTTTAAATTGCATTTGCAGGACTGAGTTTGTTTGTATCTTATTACAAGAGCCTTCTACAGCTTCTTTATGAAAAAAAAAAGTCAAAATTGAATTTTAAATAAAGTGGCCTAAAATGGCCTCTACCGGGGAACTCACAGGGTACCTAGGCCACTTTCCTGTTTCAAATGCAACACACGTGCTACATACTGCAGGGATCAGTAATGTCGAAAGCGCCCTGTTTGGAAACGGATTATAAATGATGTCCAAGGTATTCAATTTTAAGCGCGGTCTGACAAATAAATAATATATGTGAACCATTTTTGAATGCAGAAAATTGCATTCGAATCCGCCGTGAAGATTTGTCGGACCCCATTGTCGTTGTGACTTGTTTTTATATATATATCAAACAACTTTATTCTCAATTAGCTACGTGATCTGATATTTTGAGAAATTGTGCTAATTTGCACATTATGCAATTTAACCAGCCTTCATTTCTAGAAAAAGGTTCAAGTATTATTCTAAACTTTTAGTAAGAATCAAGAGAAGATAGTTAACCTTGAGAAAGAGAATACCTTTTCAAAACCTTCTACTTGGTTGGTTCTTGTCCTGCCCTCCTCTGTTCGCTCCGCGCGTCGACCCCGAAATTCTTTCGTCCTGGCTAAACCTCCGTTAATAAGAGAGAGGAGTAACACCCTTGAGCTTTTCGGCTTACGTCAGCGAAAGGGTCAAATATCTTTTCTTTTAAGTTATATCAGGGGTAGGGTTAAGATTACGCCAGAGATTATACATCTCAGTTCAAAAGATGATAAATTTGCCGTTAAACCAAAAACTGCAATTGTTCAAACGTCATGAAATACTTTGTTTAATACAAGAAATTCACTCATCTCCAATCAGTCATTTTCCTCTTTGGCTGATTCTGACCTTTTCGTGTTTTTCCCTGTTTACTGGATGATCACGTGGGACACCCGACACGGATGAGTGGGGATGTATTTAGGCTTCTCGAAGGATTCACTCACACAAAAACATATCTGCTCTTCGATTCAATGATAACATATCACTTGGCAATGAATTTATTTCGATATGAGTGTCAATCATCTCAAAGTCGTTACATGTGTTTGGACATGAGCTTGAATGACTGGCCTGGGTAGAATACATCAAATTGAGGTTCACTGGTTAACTTTTAGCATGAATAGCACAAAAGCAAACAAGACCTGCGTTCGTGGTTTGATCAGTTTCTGAGAGGCTTTCCACGATTATAACAAGAGCTCATCAGGAACGTTTTTTATTGTTGGGGGAGGGGAACGGGTGGTAGGGGCAAGCAGGATTTTGCGTGTCTAGTTTGTCACTTCACGTATCACTTAATATGTCAAGAAGTTTACAGATTTGCCTCGAAATGGTGTACTCGACCCAGTTTCTTCGCAACCATCCAAAGATTCGAGCGTGGGCTATTTCTATATGGTTACAGTCAGCCATCGAAAAATACCAGTTCATGTGCGCTGTATCATTGAGAGCTCTCGTCTCCCTTAACGCACGTCGGAAAAGTTGGCACACATTTTCTTCGTTCATCAGTATGGATCGGTGTTAATCCTCTCTATCTTAAACCATTCTTATTCCCCTATGTCTCGCTGGTTTAAATGTAAGTTCACAAAAGCGACGACTTCAACGACCCCCCCCCCCAAAAAAAAAAAAAAAAGCAACAACAACAACAACAACAACAACTCAGAGCGCGTTATGACTTGCCTCTTTCGAAATAAAAAATTTTGACCGATAATTCACTGATTGGCTTATCTTGCGATAAGGCTGGTTTTCTCATCCGCGATATATCAATCCCTTTTTATTTTCGCATATAATATCGTTTCCTGGATTGCCGAAAATCTGCCGAAAAGGGCGTGATTGTTTGGAGAAAGATAAATCGTGTAGAAATTAAACTATTGCTTTATCCCAGAGTTTTTTCTAGACATCAATGTTACCTCATGCTGAGAAGATTTTTAATTTACGAGAATAAAAACAAATGAAATTTTCAAGCATCCGGCTTAATTCAACATAATTGTGAATGATACGGAAACCAATGCATCTATCATTTTCTAGAGGCCTGATTTAATGCTAGGAGATATGCTCCACAGGGGGCTAGAAGATACAACTTTATATAAAGTATTTTGAAAGGACAAATTACGCTATTACACGGAAAAACCATCGCACTTTAGCTGTCGTATCGTGTGCCAAAATTATCTTGTTGATTTTCGTTGACGTTTACATGAGAAGATATGTAGACTAATACAAAAGCTAAAGATCTTAACACAGCTATTTTTAGCTTATCGAATAAAATCCCTTCCTTTTTTTGTTCAAAACTATTTTTTACATGTTCTCATCAACATCAAAAGATTAAGAAAACTCTGATCTTACAAAACCAAAGCGAAAAACGCTATATTTTAGAATTTTAGTACAGTATACCAGATCCTTTTGCAGATATCAAGAACACGACGTTTTCAAGAATGTATGGAATTCATCAAATTTTGATAGGCTTTACGTCACTAGATAATGTTTGCTAAAAGCTAATTATTGAACAGATTACACAAGAAAATCAGCTTTCCCGCGTTGGGATTCGTTTCGGGAAAAATTTTCCAGAGGCATGCATGGAAAAACAGATGAGAACGAGATGGAAATTCACCTACTGGTTTTACAATGAACACTGCAGAGTTAAGATTTGAAAAGACTTTTCCGTTCACCCTTAAAATCAATTCTCTGAGCCTGATGAATGTCATATTTCAGACTGAATAAACTCCATATTTGGCAGTGAGAACGACTCGTTTTGGGTGTGGTCGTTAGGTCGCTTTGCATTTACAGCAACTGACGTGCTACGTAAGAGAGCAACACGAAGCGATAAAATCAATGTCAGTGTTAATAGACAGCTGTAGGATTTTAATCTAGAGCTTTTAATCTTTGTGTGC